ATATTGTGTCATTGCAACTTTCCACTCTGACAACTGTCATTTTAATAATCTTTCTTTGTTCACGAAATAAAAATGACTATATTGAAATGAAGCAAGGTGTATATTTCCTATGTAGATCTACTCTAAATATATAGGGGTGTCCACAGTCCGTCGTCGACCGATTAATTTTATAAATTTTCGACTTATACCGAAATAATTGACACGAAATATCAATAGTAATAAATAAAATGTGATTGTGATTAGTGACCGTCTCTCGTCGAGAACGGTGGAAGCAGGTGAATGTCGCATATAGTCGGTTTTAGCTTTAGCCGCTTATCATTTGCCGCCGTTTGTGCCAGACCGTGTTATCTGGGCCGGCTTTAAATTTTTTTAGAGCAAAAAGGAGTTGACCAAAACCAATCAAAATACAAAATACTCATTCCAACGAACTCATTACAATGGTTAAAAATGTTACTTCAATGAATGTAATGTGGCAACTTCAAACAATATTTTAAAATTTTTTCAACTTCAATGAGAATTTTAACTACACCTACCTACCTGAAGACATCAACACTTCCCTATCAATATTGAACTATATTGAAGACTAATCATATTTGTATATGATCTCTTATCATTTTTTTGTTTGTTTCTCTTTAAATTTCTATAATAACATTGTCATAAAACTTCAATGAGTATTTTGAGCACACCTACCTACCTGAAGACAGTAATTCTTCCCCATCAATATTGAACTATATTGAACATATCTATTCATAATTTGTATATGATCTCTTTGCACTTTTTTGTTTGTTTCTCTTTAAATTTCTATAATAACATTGTCATAAAACTTGATCCTGTATTCAAAACGCTCATTTCACCCTTAACACAACGCATAAACGAACAAAGGTGTGCGTGCACATGTGCGTGGGGTCTTTCCTGATCCCCCCATTCACCAAGGAAGATATATTAAAAGTCATGGAAAGGCGTATAAAGGTCCTTTTATTAGTTTCCATCCCGCTCCACGTTCACGGCGCGCGTTTCAACATTTATTAGATCGAGGGTGACCACTTGCCCGTGATTAAAACCAGTTCGGAATTTTAATACTTGTCATAGAGAATTAACGCTTCTTTATTCGCAATTTATCATTGAAGATTCGTATGTAGATACTATTTTATTGATTTTTTTAAACTAATTATTAAACTTGTAGAAAAGTTTGCTGATGCGACTCCTCTTGCACGTCATCATCGCACGCAGAGGAAGATATTTATGAGTGCAGCAGAGGATTCCGCCTGGACCGCTGGAGCAATATATCTTGAAAATGATTAAAGTAGAAAATTTCAGTAGAAAATACCATCGCAGATAGACAGAAACATTCTCGAAGGTTTTTAAATTCGCCCGTGTCGGATCTCACCTTGTAAATTACCCGCCGAATGTGAGACCTATAAATTTTTGCGATCATGTTTTAGTGAAAGCGGAATAAAGAGTTCATTCAAGTTCAAAGCCGAGATGCATTAGGGCTTATTAATATCCCATTTGACATTTTTCGGCTCCCGCTGCGCATGATGTACGGCGTTCGTTGGGACGAATAAATCGCGCGCAACGTTAATTTGTTTCAAAATAAAGGACGAAAATTGTGTTTACAAAACATAACAGGTATACATATACAGTTTAAAAAAAATTAAAAAGAAATTTTGTTTCGGCCAAAATTTTAATAAGACTTACATATTATAGAAGTTGGTAGAGATGAGGTTGAACTTGATGAAGATTCCTATAGTCTATTTTATTTCTGACACAAATGTTGAATTCTGTTATGTTTGCCTTTTTCTTACAGGCGATTTCAGAAAGGGACAAAATTAAATCCATTAAATAGACGTACCTAATTGATTTCATACTCAGAGGATAAACTTTATGGATCCTCTATATAAGCCTAAAGGGGCATTTAAAGTTAGTGTCAATATTTAGACATTACAGTTCAGTTAGCTTTTATTGGTCCTATCAATGTTGAATTTATAGTTCTTAGGGATTCCATAAAAATCTACTACATGACTGGTACAGTGAGATAAAACTTTGGGCATGCATTAGAAAAATTGATCAACGAATCCAGCATTCTATTGCAAGGTTTATTGCGAAAAAAATCAGCAATAATTTATTATCCTCTGTCAACGCCACTGAAGAGAAAACACCCGAGTATTTGGCGTTATATGCAAATCAAGAACACTTACAGGGAGTTTTAAAATTTTAAAAGAAGACTAAAAGCTAGTCGGATAATTTCCTATAAAATTAGTGTATTGGTGATTTGGGGAATTGTTTGGACAAGGCCACCCATGACGTCCGATAGGCCGTTATCTTTATGACTCTTGGTAAGGTACCTTCTGAAACCGATAAATTTTATATACGGGGTACCGTCGTTGTTTTAATTTCATCGCCGCGCTCGGTCAAAACGGTCAGATCGACTTCTTTAACTTTTTACGACCGACGAATATCGTTCGGTCGATCTTCCACAGGAGAAGGTTAACGAGGATTCTAATGTGATAAGCGATCTTTTGATGTTTGATGCTTGTAACCGAGAAAGAGCAGGTTCTCGATTCCCAATATAAAATAGTTAGGAAGCTTGCACCATTAAATTCTAAACAATAAATTTTATATATTTACGCTGTGATTTACATACCTACCTTTTCAACCCTATCGGTCTTTAATGATGATTTATAATCTGTTAATAGTCCCTAAGTATTCTATATCACATCAGGAACATTCAACCAACGATTTAATAAATTTCTACGTAAGTATATGAAATTAAATTTTCACTCCATTTTCAATGATATTATAATAAGTACTTACATCCTTTGAAGTTTGCGACACATTATTAGCACCCTGCTGTACCTACTAAAATATTCTTGTATACCTACCTAGCTTTTTTAGGCTGTACTACCTAAATAAAATCGGTAAGGCCGCCTAGCTGATCTATTATCTAGAAATCGAAAACACGAAAAGAATTCCATCGGCTGATTACCACCAAGAGAAAACAGAAGCCTGCTCACTAACCGCCAATCATTCCAATAAATTATTGAACTCGTTATCTTGTAGATATAATAAAGCTCCAAGAAATAAGATCAGGTAGTTTCCTCTAGAATAGTAGAGAAGCTTTAGATATTTTTTAACCCCGCTTACAGTTAACAATTCTTCCGCATGTACTACCCGTGAAAGTACGTAAATTTGTCTAGAAGAAACAGGCATTTTTCCAAATAAAGTAGTTAATTAACTAATTAATCAGACCGTTTCTCAGCTTCGTTACTCAGTTTCTTGAGTAAATAATCAGGTAAAAAAATAATGAGTATATAATTAAGAAAAAAGTCCGTCAGGTAAAGGCAAGTAAATCGGTAAAGCACTCTTCTGGCAATACCTAATAATACAATTAATAACCGAAACGGATCGAAGCGAAGCCGCGGATGCCGCGGTGGAATGAAGCATGCGATGGAATAAAGGAGCCGATTACCCAATTCGGTTTCGATCAAAGGGGACCGGTCTGTTTATATAATGCGTAATTAAGCGGCCAATTTACTGCTTGCGAACGACCAATTTCGAATTTCGATTCCGCCTGCCTGGCCTGCCTCTTGCGAAGAAGACGGAGAGTCTTGTAAAAAATGTTTAGCTTTGAGTAAGCTATGCTGAATGGGTTGTGTGCAGTCGCTGAAGACGATAGAATCCAAGATTATTATTAAACACACAATGTTTCATTTAAAAAAATAGGGAACACTTTAGGGAAACTTTGGAGTTTTGTTTGGAACATATTGACATAAATAGGTATACATATCTAACATTAAACGAATTGTGAATGAAATATGCTGGTTTCTGTGTAATAAGCTTAAGCTATGTTAAACAAGAAAGATTCATAAATGACCGATAATATATCCTCATAATATTTGCAATAAGTAAGTATTGGATGAAAAATTTGACAGAAAAATATTCTTTATCCTCCCTTGAGGTTCTGTAGCTTCCTTCAAATTATACAGGCATAGAAAAACATAGGTATGTAGGAACCTCTAATCTAATTTAAGATGCAGAATTTCCTCTTGAATTTTTGCTTGTCAGTTCCGGACGGCCTGTTTAATAAAATGGATGCATGAAGGACGTGGTAAATAATTAGTAGGTACCAGTTTTTATATTAAAAGAAGAATTTATTAATTCGACAACATTGCGAGTCAGTGGTTCTTTTAGAAACCCGCAGCTCCGTGTTAAAGGTATCTATTTTTAATAAACGAACTGCATCAGTTTACTTCAACTTGTGTCTACTAGATACCGCCATAAGATTGGACTTTCACAGAACATAAAACATGGACTTTGAAGATTACTGAACTGTGCAAAAATTTTATTACAATTTTGTCTAAAATATATTTTCTGGAATATTCATTGTTGTTGGAAAATTCATTGAAAATCTTTGATCATTGAAAATTAGAATCTTGATCTTCTGAACTTTTGATCTTTAGTCGCTCTGTTGGATTAAAATAACTTTTTTCCGTTTTTTAGACTTGCTGAAAACGGCTAAGACAATTTTAACTAAACACATTCCAGAAAATTCCTTGAAAACTGTTTAAAAACATTTGTGAAAAGGTGCATTTGATTTTAACACAGGAATCTAAATTCACAACACAAGTATCTTTCTAATCATTAGATTAAATTTGTGAAAATTATTAATGCTCTCAAAATTTAATAAACACACACTATTGTAAAAAACTTTTTTAATATTTACAAAAAATATACATATTCATTACTTAAGTACAAATACATCGCTATATGACATTTCTAGAAGTTTATATGAACACATTGGTAACCTACTCATTAACATAATTAAATATATATCCATTAAAATAATGCGTCAATTAAATATTTACATTTTAAATAAAAGTACCTAATATTAATTGGTTAATTAACAGCCAAATCATTTTATCATATCATTAGGGATAGAGACAGTCTTTCCAAAGTCAATTGAATGAAATATTAAAAACAATTTTAACTTCTATAAAATCTGTCTTTTAATACAGTTTACATAATATTTTATAGTAATAATAAATATTATCAAAATTAATAAAAATATACAATTTATATTACCTTATTAAAAAAAATTAAAGCTAATTTGCATTTATTTTACAGTACTTTAAAACAGTACCGAATTGACTTCGGAACCACAGCACACTAACACCTTCGATTATTGATTTTTTTAACATAATTCGTAATATGCCTGTAATCTTTATCGTACACGTCTGGTATTTCCATTCTAACCACCTCGTTATAAACCATTTGAACAGTATTACAGCCGAATAGCTGCTTTTCGTACTCGATTAGCTGCCTGAAGAATCCGCAATTCGGCTTGATCCTTGACCGGCGTAACTTGACGAAATTATAGGCGTCCAGAAGGCTCAACCTGTGGTGCTTCATTAAATAGGCTAGGCATATGCAGGCCGATCGACTCACTCCTGCAACGCAGTAGATTAAAATTTTCCCGCCTAAGTTAGACACCTGCAAAGGTAAACAATGTTTATGTGAAATTTACAACAAGTTAACAAGTGGGATTTCCCGCTTGTTAAGAGACATTCTGTATAAGTTGTAAGTTATTAAATCATTTCAATACTTCTGAAGCGATCGAGTGTTAGAAAGTGTTACTGATTGTAATGAAAGGGAATTGGTTTACTCTACTTCCTGTCGACGAAATATTTCAAAGCGCTTTTAAATTAACTACAAATTATGCGAAAAATCCGACCTCATTCCGATCCGAGTGTTTATTTCCAAGCGAATGTTAATGTTGTGTTTCTCTTCGATGTCCGTACGAAATTTACGTGTCACAAAAATATAAAAATATTTGAGATTGTAGCCTAAATTAAGCGGAATGCCGATGTTTTCTTATTTTAAATTTGGAGGTCCTACTCGATGTCTATAACATGATTGGAGTATAAATAGATCAGTCTAAACGGTGGTATTAATGCAGAATTCTTTATTTACTCAAGAAATTGTACAGGAGGCGAACAAGAGATAAATGATGAGAGTCCGAGGAATATCTTCTGGATTCTCTATATTTCTCTATAGGTTTCTATGTTTTATTATCATGATTGATCTATACAATATGATCCCTCATGTTTGAGAATGTTTTTTTTAATGTGAAGCCTATTTATCATTTGACTAATTTATGAAGCTTCATTTATTATCTAATAGGTTCTATAACTTCTTTTAATTGTTTTATATTTTTTTTATAATTTTTTTAAAGCCGTTTTTGTGGACTTTCTCTCATTTTAATGAATATCAAACATATTTTCGTTTTTTCCTAATGATTTTTAGAGCATTATTTCCAATATTTTTCATCATTCTCCAAAATAATGACATCATATCGTCATTATCGGGCAGTTACCCGAGACTAAATTTACTCCACTGTCACGAGCGCTGTGATTCAGAAGAAATAAATGTGTTTGTTTTGTAATATATTTTTATATTTTGGCTTACAATTTCATAGGTATGTGTATTTAAAATAAAAATAAAAATTGGCGTTTACTTGGGAATGATCCGAAAAAATGCGTCGTTGAAAAATCAATTGGAATAACAATAGTATAAAAATACATAATAAACAGTCTTAAATACTTATTCCGTACATTTCAGAAACATGCGAGAAATTCAGGGAATTCCTGGGAATAATTAAAAAAACAAATCTTCGAAAACGTTCTTTAATTAACCGTCAATGGGAGGATGAAACGAAAATAGACACAAGTGGTTTGTTTTCGTGAAACATCCGAATCGAATTTTTTAAAAACTAATTTCGTGTGATTAACTGTTGTAAAACTTGACACAATTCTGCGCGAGAAACAGATGTTCCGTAAAGCCTCTATTATTCTAGTTCATTGAACAAAAACCGATTTAAACTAATTTTAAACGACGCCTAAATTGTAAACACCTACCCACGCTTCTTGTAAACTACAATTTTTTTAGAAGTCAATTCAATCATAAAAACGGAAGTGTAAAAGGTCTACAGGAATAGCTGGAACCGCCAAGGTCATAAGCGCAATTACAAACGTACAAGAAACTCATTTACCTATTCTTCTACCATATGATATTAATGAATAGAATTGATGAAAAGACTTATCATTGGTATATTGGTATAGGGTAGATACTTACTTGTTGTATTAGATTTGCAGCTTTATCGAAATAGGAAAATATGCCGGAACACCCGGAGTCCGCGACGTCTACTTTGTAGTAAACGAGATCGTTTCGAAGAGGCGGATCCGGCAGTTCCGGAGCGCAGGAAATTACGCAGGAAATGCGGCAAGTTTCGAGAATTTCAGGATTCACATTGCTCGCCGATGTCAAAATCAGATTGTCCGTGATTCCGGAGAGGTTTGTGGAAAGGCGTGGAAACAGCCTGGAAAGTAGTTCTGAACTGGAAATAAAACTAGGTGTAAGTATGTATGTAGGTACCCTAAAAACATATATTTACAACATATTTATGTTTTAATAGACCAATTTTTTATAGCAAAAAAACAGTCTATTTTTACATATTTTGATAGCTCTGTATATTAAATTGATGTTTTTTTCAAATTTTTATTTTGGTAAACTTGATGTATTCTATGATGAATCAAATGAATTGGGAAAGGGAGTGGCAGTGGATAAACACATTTTTGAAGAGGTATGCAGGATATTTGGCCTGGATAGACGCGATGCCAATATGTATAATAGACTCGCATTCATTCGCTAGGGGCGTCGTAGGCCAGTGCCGTTCTCGTTTGCTTCGCAAGCTCGTTTTTTATAAAACAGGATTATCAAACAAGTTTTAACTTTTAACTCAGTAACATGAAATGTGAAATTTTCGAAGTATAAAAATTTCATAAATCTTTGAGTTTTTGAGTTGTTTAAATATTGATAGTGAATGAATAATTGACAGAATAATTAATTAGGTAATGAATGTAATGATGAATGCATGAACCTACTGATGAATTAAGTAGGCATATGAAGAAAATAATTGCAGTAAAATTATTCAAGTACCTTTTAGAGCATTTAATAAATAATATTGTGTCGATCTCGCTTGCTTAGAGAGGCATATAATATAAATTCTTGATGTTTAAACCGCGCCTTATTTCAAGAATGACTCATGACCACATCAAATTGTTTCAATTCTTAAGTGTACTTTAAGTATTGTTCTAAAAATAACTGGCGAATTTAATTAAAGCGAGTGTTTTATTATGTTGATTTTACGAATTTCATTTCGAAATATAAACATACCAATGGTTTGTGATTTTTATTACCTGCATTCCTGCATGCGATCCAAAATTTAATTTCGTTCTAATTTTAGTTTACCTACTATGAAAAGTTAAAAAAAATTAAACGGTAGGTAAAACGTGAAATTAAGAATTGCATACATACAATTCCTAACGCACTTTTGGGACTTTCTTATGTAGAAAAATTTTTAGAAAAAAAGTGGAAAATATTAATCTGAAATAAAAATAGTTGAATAATTGTTAGATCCAAAAAATAATGATCAATTAATCTTAATTTAAATTTGTATGTAGCAGGTAATGAAGCAAATGACTTGAGCAATTCATAAAATCAATTTACTGAGTCTACACAATCTCAAAAAACTTCATATCGGCGGTTAAAAATATTTTTATAGCCAATACAATAGACTTTGATTAAAAAATTTGATAAATTTGATAAATTAAAAACTTATTAAATGTTAGTTTTTTAATTAATATTATTACCTCCTAATGGTGACATTGTGGCTTTCATCTAAAATGTTTTGCACATAATTATCACTAAAATTACCGCTATTGTTAACAATCGCTTCAACTTCCATTATTATTTTACCGGGTTACTTTAATTCAAATTTAATCGAGAATCTGCTCTTTGCCCAATAAATGTCCAAAATGCTTTTTTCTGTATTATTTTTGAAAAGAATTCGACCGGCCGAGCGCGCAACCGAATATATTGTACGGAATGTGGCGATTTACCTGAGTTTTAAACCGTAATGAAACTGAGAGAGACCTGCGCGTGACGGCTCAAAACGCATTCCACAGGAGAATATTTGCGTAAATGCTGAATTCCAAGCGCGACTTTCAGCTGAAAATTTCTTCAAGTGTTAGCTCCACTAAATTAAATTTGCTTAATAAATTGATTAAACTAAAACATTTTATGTCCACTTTTCTTGAAATTGTCGCAGAGTTACTGGAAAACAGCCACAAATAATTGTTTTGATAATTGAAAATTTTTATTTATTAAAAATTTGAATTATTTTGCACTCTTTTGCACATCTTTCATGTCCTAGTAGACTGTATGGTCAATTATGCCAAAAATGTTCAATTTCTTTCAATGTTTGCAATGAATTCAAATAATTTCGTTGCGCCCAATTTACCTAAAGGATTAAAATATCCACTAATACATTTCTGCGCCCAATTTACCACATCAGCATGAAATTACGGGACACTCATTGTAAAATTTATTTGGTATAAAAGGAGAGAAATAATTAAATAAAAAAATTATATTAAAAAATTAATGTATAATCAATATCATTTTGTTTCTAGCTAACATAACGAATCATTCGTCTTCTACAACGATGGTAATTTGTTCTACTTTGCAATTTGGTTCATTCCTACTTTCTGAACCGCAGTCACTCTCGTCTTTTGGTTTGATAGAATTCAGAAATTTCAATTGATAGTATATGAAGTTTTCTTCAGCTTTCGTGTACGTTTTGGTTTTCAGATTGTATAAAAGTTCCGAACAAGTGTCTATGACGTTTTCTTTCGTCACCCGCGTCTCTTTTTCAGTATTAAAAACCGCTATCTCCATCTCATCCATTGAATTTTCAGACGTACAAGGCCATTCTCTGAAATCTTCGGATACTACAGATTCTTCTCTATAATCTTCAGACATTAGTGATTCTTCTCTATAATCTTCCGACATTAGTGATTCTTCTCTATAATCTTCCGACATTAGTGATTCTTCTTTAAAATCTTCCAACATTAGTGATTCTTCTTTTAAATCTTCTGAATCATTGTCTACCGCCATTTCGTTCGTTACTTCAATAGAAACTTCACTGGGCTCTAATTTTTTTATCTCTTGTTCGCTGCATGTTTTTAATATGCTCTCCTTATTGATGAAGCAGAAATGGATGTGCACACAAACGAGAGACTTCTTCATGAAAGGCTTACACGTACATTCGTAATTGTCAATGCATATGTTGCAAATGCTGCATTTTAGGTGGCAACACGCTCTACCCCTTCGTTCTTTTACTATATAAACACTGTTATCATTCGTATCGTGAACATAGTATAAATTATCCCTGAAGTCAACGTCGAAGGAACTATTTAAGGCCAAGTCGTGAGCTTCTTTGATTTCATCTTTGTAAGGTGTTGTTATTTCAATCTTGTCACCTGTGTACCTAGGTTTGATTTTGTAGGCCCTCTTTATGTTGTATATATCTTTCGTACTCAATTGTAAATCTCTTTGTTGTATGCCTTGTTCATGTTCTTTTAGTACACTAAAAATTCTAAAAAAAAAAAACGATTTATGAGAAATTCGATAACTGCGGTATTGAACTTACTCTTTAGTTGATTTTCCGTCTAACAATAGATTAGCAATGTCTTTTCTTAATTCATCAGATAGTCTTAGATGTTTTATGTCATTGTCGTGTCCATAATGAGTCTCGTAATAAGTTGCTACACAACTGTCGCTTTCTAAATCCTTCGTTAACACGATTCTGCTGGTACAATGGTTGCCCACTTTTATGGATCCAACCTTTTTGGGTTTCCGTTTTCGATCATTGTCTACAGAAGCTTTAGGTTTTTTTATTCCACCTAGAAAAATAATAGTAAGTAGGAATAATTTAAAGAGCATAAGAGAGCATTACCGGATCTGTAGCATTGGTAGTATATTTTTTTCAGTTGCCTCAAGTGACAGAAATATGTTCCAGTGGTTTTAGTGTAACGCACGTTTTTTGTCTTTTCTTCGATACCCTTCCATAATTCAAAATCTAAAAGTTTATATGAACTTGAGTAAACTCTACGTAAGACAACATGCTATCGGTACTTACCCCTTAAGTTCTTAAATTCCAGCGTCCTAACGTTAGTATCAATGTTGTGAACATTCTGTAAATGCAAAACGAGACTGATGTGATTTTTAAACGCTATTTTGCAGCCTTCTAAACATCTAAAGCACGAGGAATTGAAATCGTAAGAATCTTCAGATGGTAACAGGACGCCGTGAACGGACTTTTTGTGTTTGTTTACATTACTAATACGTTGATAAGTTTTGTCACAAATGTCACACGATATAGTCGTTGGCGTTGGCGTTGTAGACATTTTTTATGTAGAATGTAAAGATCTAATACAAACCTTTTGCGAATCGTAAAATTCAAAAATACAATTCACAAAATTGTGGCTTTACTGGCTTTGATTGTATATCAATTTGACAGCATAATTGTCGTTTCTTCGTTTTTTCATTGTATGACATCCTTGATAATGGTCTTTATTTACACTTGTATTCAGCGACCCAAGCTAAATATGACAAATGACATATATTTCCTGAGTGTCAAATGTCAAAACTTAAATGTCAATCTCAATGTCATTTCTTCTCATGACAAGCCATCACTTTGAGGTGTTGACTTTTGCGTTTTCATTCATTGAAAATACCAAAAACGAGCTTAAATTTATTGTTCTCATGTACTCAATAGTCCACCATACCGTTAGTAATGTCGAAAATATTTAAATACCCATGTGAGAAAAGTTACATGGTAAGTACTTGCAATCAGTATGGTGCAACGTTATCAATGTTTTGAATTTTTTTAGAACGATGACCATAAGAAGTATTTATCCAGGATAACTAAAACTCTCTATTATGGAAAATTGCCGAAAACAGATTGCCTCAGTTGGCCCGTAACAGGTAACTTGCATCTAACAATTCCAACTATAAATATAAATAAGTAATTTTTATCAGAATTTGCCGCCGAAATATTTTCTGAGGCCAAAAGAGGGAAATCCTTGGAGCGATTACATTACTACAAAGCCGCTGATATATCTAAGAAGGCTTGCGTGGCGCCTTGTTCCTTAGTTTTAGCTCTGTTGTACTTGGAAAGGTTGAAAACTTGCAATCCTCAATACCTCGAAAAAATTTCCCCTTCAGATTTGTTTCTTGTTTCGCTGGTAAGTTACACACTTCTGTATTTTAAATTTGCTAACATTTTCACATTTTCAGATGGTTTCTTGTAAGTTTCTGTTTGACGACGGAGAAGGCGATGAAGTATTTTTAGACGAATGGGCTGTTTCAGGGGGTGTCAATACCAAAGATTTAGTTAAACTGGAAAAGGAATTTCTTAAAGCTATTGTAAGCATAACTTAAAAATGAGTGGCTGAAAGTTACACTTTCACGTTTCAGAACTGGGAAATTTTCATAAGCGATAAAACATTTGATGCCAAACTGAAAGAATTGGAATTTGCGCTGGCTCTGAAGCAGGGTATGTCGAGAGGTAGTTTCACATACACTGAATTGGATATCCTGTCTTGCACAGTAGAGATACAAAATATAATTCAATGCATTGGTGCTATTACGATAATTTTGGCTTTAACTTACATAACAGGATTCCTGACGTTGATAAGCTCTGTGTTTTTAACAAGTCAAATACCTGGAACCAGTCTATACATGAAAAAGATTGAGCCTACCGAGAATTCCATTGTGCAAACGTCCTGGGAAAAGACTGATGTAGAAGATTTGAAATTGGATCAATCGGAAACTGTCGTTAAAATGCTGCAAACTACGTTCATATTAGCGTCTATGAATCCCAATAATATGTCTCTTTATGCAAACTCTGTATCTTGGGATTATTGGAACAATCCTCTTATGGAATGGTTAGCTAAAACTTCGCAACTGGTCTCAACATTCACAACGGAAATGCAGTACAATTATTTGCCTTACTACTTAGAAACCAGATCACATAATATGAAATATATTGACTTGGAAGATCAGATACACAAAGCTACTAAAACAAGGATTCAGGATCAACTTGAACCATCTTGGCATATGGAATGGATAGAGTCTATAAAATTGGGAGTATATACGAAAAATATTAAATTGAGGTAGACCCGAAAATCTAAATTCTCCAGTCCAAATCGTCTTATAATCAACTAATTTTGTATTACTATAAAACCATAGTAAATTAATTTCAAATAGAATTTTGTGAGAAAAATTGTATTAATAACGAGCCAAAAATTTTTGATATATCATTCTAATGTAAAAAGCATAGGAAAATAGTGTTTAAAAATATTTACAACAGAACAGCAGTTTTTGTGTAATTATCGAATGGATGACAATAATTATAGCAATTTATTGTTTTTATAAACACACTAAAAATGAATAAAACGTTATCACAATTTAAGAATTTTTGCATCTAAAATATCTAAATTAAACAACTCTGAATCAAAAATTATATTCATACAAGTCCTATTGAACTACTTAATAACATTTTCCTCATCAATAGTTTCTATATGGTATAATTTCTTATCCTTCTCAGGTATGTTACTGGGAGCTCCACTAAGGGGATCTCTACCTTCGTGATTCTTCGGAAATGCTATAACATCTCTAATACTAGTTGTACCAAGTAAAATAGACAACAATCTGTCTAATCCTAAAGCTATTCCTCCGTGAGGAGGACATCCAGATGCTAAAAATTCAATCATGTGACTCATATACTTCGAGTTAATATTTAATAAATCCAGGATTCTCTTTTGCAAAAGCGGGTCGTGGATTCGAATTGATCCTCCTCCTACTTCGTTGCCATTTAAAACTAAATCGTATGATAGAGCTCGTATCTAAAAAACATGTATAATTAAATTAAACCAATACACTCATTCCCTATTATTACTTTAAGGGGCTCCTTGTCTAGTAAATGCACATCATCTGGATGAGGGGCTGTGAAAGGATGGTGGGGTGATTGTAGATTTCCATTATCAGAGAGTTCGAATAAAGGAAAATCGGTTACCCACAAGAAGTGCAAACCATTTCGTCTGATATTCACACCCATATTTTCAAGAATATTTGCATATTCTATTCTCAATTTGCCCAACATAGATAACTAAAAATTAAATAAATCGTAGAAACGTTTTGTTTACAGATAATGTTGATTACTTACAGCATGTTTTTTGCTACCAAAAGCGAGAAACAGCAAAGAATTTGGTGAAATATCATTTTTCTCTACGAATTCGTTAGCTACATTAACTCCCAATAATTTCTCAAACTTGCTCACGAATTCTTCACGACTTTTAATGGCACCTGTGACTATTTTTGCATTATTGTTTTTTTCAGTTACACTTTGAATAAGTTCTTTAGCTTTTTTGTTACTAATTACATATTTCTCAGGAATTAACAAAAAATGGGCTGCAAAATCGCTGCAATTCGCCAATTTTGAATTTTTACCGAGAACTTTGGTGCAATCCTCTATCTAAAATATTTAGTTTAATAACATTTTTGGTATTTGGATCTTATTTTATTAGAACCTACTTGAAAATCAAATGAAACATCAGGTTTGTCTGAACCATACAGCCTAATGGCTTCATGAAATGTTAATCTATTGAATGAAGCACTCTTTAAATTAAACTCGTCTTTTAAACAATACTCTAGCAAATCTTCTATCAGTTTCATCACTCCCTCGACATTAGTAAAAGACATTTCTATATCTAATTGAGTAAATTCCGGTTGTCTGTCCGGTCTAAAAATGTTTACTACTATTAATCATATTGCTTTTAAATATTTCTAACAACCTTGCTCCTTCATCTCTATAGCATCGGGCTATTTGGAAATATTTATCAATGGCACCAGCCATTAACATTTGCTTAAATTGCTGAGGACTTTGCACTAACGAATAAAATTGGCCTGGGAATCTTGTTGGGACTACGTACTCTTGAGCACCCTGAAAACGCATTGCTAGAAAGTACAATTGTCTTTTCTTTGTACTGTAAAATTACCCCGGGAGTAGCCTTGAATAAAGTTGGCGTTTCCACATCAACGAAATGATTGTTCACTAAAAATTCTCTCATTTTCATGGTGAGGTGCGATCGATACCTCAAATTTCTTTGCATCTGGGGAAACCTCAAATCTAAGTACCTATACTGCATTCGCAACGATTCCTTAGCTTTTTGGAATTCTCTTATATTAAACGGTAGAATTTCCTTTGCTTTGTTTATTACTTGAAGGTTTTCAACCAGTATTTCAATTTCTCCAGTGGATTGGTTTTTGTTGATCATTTCCTTAGGTCTGGGTGAAACCGTGCCTTCTACTTTCAATATGGATTCATAAGGAATGGTTGGTAATAAATTCCTTAATTTATTGTCCTATAATATATTATTAAAACATTTAATTGGAAATATTCCAAGTAGGTATTACCTTGTCGTCTACTAATAATTGTACTTGCCCGTAACCATCTCTTAATACCACAAATTTATTCATCCGTTGGAACTCCAACCATCCCCAAAGGACTACCTTTTCACCAACATTATTAAGTCTCAATTCTTTGCAAGTGTGCGTCCTATTCGTATATTTATTAACAGTGTTATTAGAGGTGTCGTTGCATTGATCAAGAGCGCCTAGAGTGTTAACTAGGCATCGTATAGCCGGGTTTTTAAATGAATTAACCTAGAATTATTATGAATTACAACTGGTATCGAGAAGGTCCTTTGTAATCTCATACTGCTTTGAACAGTTTGTTGAATCGATTTAAAAGGCTCATGATGTTTACTCTAGAGCTCCTTACATTTTTGTAAAAAAAAATGAGGTTAGGTACAAATTTTTAGGTTAGGATTCTTCTTTTTACCAAAAAATTTATTTTTACATTGGTGGCCTCTTGTTTATAGGTATTTTGAGTAGCACTTAAATATACTCCAGATAGAGAACAACACCAAAAAAAATGTTCGCTGAAGGATATAATAAAGATAAATAAAAAATAATAGGGAATTGTAATTAGATTTCAGTTAAAATTAGCCTCCTTCTTCAACGTTTTCTTCTTCTTCTTCTTCGGATTCCTCGTCCAATTGAATATTAGCAGCTGTTTCGTCGTATTCCTCCATCGACATTCTGTTTATGAAATCTTCGTAATGAATTATACCGTTACCTTTTAAGTCTGCTCTTGCAGCGAACGATTCCATTTCTTCTTCATTAAACGGCTCGCCCACTTTCATCAATAATTTCTTTAAAGTCTCTAGCGAAACCGTGCCCTTGCCTTTAACGTCGAATATCTGTCAAAGAAGCCAAAGGGCTTTACTTTTGTAATAAACCTACGTTTTATAATACGAGATCATCTATTTAGGATAAAAAATCCGCGTAAGCTAAAACTTTTACCTTAAAAGCTTTTAAAATGTCATCCTCCTCTCCAGTCTGCGTTTTGTGCCATAGCAAATACAGGAACTGATAAAAAGTGATGGTTCCCTCTTTGAACGGATCAATGTCGTTCATCATCGCCTCTATTTCAGCTTTTAAAGGGTTGAAATTCAATTGTCTCATTAGCGAGCCCAGATCGGCGGTGTGCATCCGATCCGGTTCTACAGAGTCTTTGCTTTTTTTCGTTTTGATTTTGTATTTTTTGAATATTTCCTTTATGGCGAGCACTCGCGCTTCGGTGAATTTTCCTTCGACGAATTCTTCGAAGTTGACTGTGACGCTGCGTCGTAAAGGATCCATTTTTTAGAGTATTTAACTGTGGAATATTCAATTAGGCAAGTTTTGCGTCAGAATAATAGACGTTTCTTTGAACATAGTCATAATCAAAATATACATATATATATATACATTTGACATAGACGTTTGTTTTAAAAGCGGGAATTTGTTTATGCAGAGAAAAGTTTATTGTTCTCGATATAATTATAGATATCCAAACGTTGACGCCGCAAAAATGGATAGAAAACGAGGAAACGTTCGTCGGATTGCTGGAAAATCGAAATATCCTTCACGCAATTCCTTGCTTGAACGCCAATACAGCCGAGCAATTCCCTAAGATGGCCATGGTGAGGTTCATCGGTATGGTTCAAGATATGCATTCGCCTGAATATTATTTGGAAAAAGTCGAGGTGATAGATAGAACCAACAACAAAACCTCCATAATGAACGGCAAATACGGAAATAAGCTGGTAAACGACAACGAGTACATAAATTTCAAATGTCCAACGAACGTTACATCGGAGAGACAATCTTTCGTTGTTATTACAGTCCCAGCGTTAAACGAGTGGGTTCGTAATGTACATAGTAAATTCAAATTGAACCCTACAACTAATAGTTGCCCAAGTAACAAGCGGGAATTAGACGAACCAATGGAGGAAACGGGGCCTTGTACATCGAAGAAACTCTGCACGGAAACGACTAAAGCTGGTTTAATGTCTAATTCTAACGTGAGCAATGCGCCTAAAGATATTTACCCTCTAGTAGACGGGTGTAACGAGGCGTTTTGTGTTACAGTATACAACAAATATGTACATATATATATTAATAAGTTTTTCCGGCATTTTATTTTTTTTTTAATTTTTATTGGGTAGTAGAGTACTGCAAGAATTGCTTTCTTCATTGCTTTTTTGCAAGCTTGAATTTAAAACAGTCGTGTACCCAACCCAAAAGTTGAATTTTTCTCAAATTTATTGATGAGAAAATCACCCAATTCAATAAATTCTTTCGACACAGAAAACTATTCCCTATAATGAAGGCGCCCTCAATATAGGTATAGAAACACAGGAATTTTCAAAGTAAAAAACGATGAAAACGGTAATATGTATAAAAAAAGTAATAAACGGAGTAATAAACACATTAATCACCCGAAGTCCACCCGGGGTGTAAACGAGTCGCCGATATCACTCACTCCCCATTGGCCGGCCTAAAAGTTGATACTATGTGAATGGTTTTGAATAATTGTAGGCGATGTGTGAAATTTCGATCGATCGAATCGATCATTGTACAGAATTTTGCCGTACTGGGGTAGGGATATTTTAGAACCGCCTGACATTTTTATTACTCCGTCTTCCAAACGCGCCAAGTATACAGATTGTACGAACTGATCCGCTGCAAGCATACAATGAGAATAATGAGATAGCTAATTTAACTTCTGCTATGTAAGGAATAAAGAGAGCATACGAAATAATCACGCCCGCTATCCCCGCTATTCGCTAGTGGACGAAGCGAAGCGAATTGACGAATTCTAATATCGGCCGGCAACCGATAAACAAGTTTCTGTTCTTTACTATCTTATAGTATTGATTGAGATTCTAATTCTAATGCTTGCAGCGGAATAATTCGTACAATCTGTATGTATATACATATATTTATTTTACTATGCTATAGTAAAAAAATATAATACAATAATTGGTTAAATTCATTTTAATCATTAAATTATTTTTTAATCAGAATTGGTATTTTTTAAACTGGTAATAACTCACATGTTTCAAATTTTTGAAAAATGGTGCAGCAGCAATTTGACCTGCGATTACCAAGCAACCGAGGGTATTACACAGACTACATACTAATGGAGCACTACAGCGATATTTAAACACCTTGCTCCTGCATAATTTTTTGAAACATGAGTCACTGTCAGTTAGTTTGGAACCAGGGTATAAATAAAAAGAAAAGTCTTTGCATTTATGCTAGTTTTTATTTTACACTAATTCACAAAATAATATACAATCCATTTATTAACTTAACAATAAGATTTCTATACACATTTTATCAGCATAGTGTATATTATGTATGAAACATGTTTGAAACATGTAATTTGGATTAGTCAAGTGTGCGGTCTCGAATATTTCATAACTTACTTGCGTACCCTTTACGAACTTTGCATGAGGCACAGAGATTTAGTTTGTAAGTAGAAATTATACCATTTAAGACGGGAAACTGGGATTTAACATGCGTCAAAGTTAATCCTTTCATTTAATCGATTAACTTTGGAAACAGTTGTTTCATGTTAAACAGCTGTTTAACACACATATGTTGCGTAAATCATGCAATATCGATAAAGTATTTCTTCAATTAAACGGCTTCTGAATATAAAGGATTTTTGCTCCATCTTAATCAGCTTAACGTATTGTAGTTTTTGTTGAGCTTGGTAATTGAAATTGTAAATAATGGCGGTTACTTTTTACAACTAATTAACAGTTTGATAAAAAAATAAATATTCAAAATTAATTTTAACTAGTGAAAGTGCAGCCTATTTAAATTTTACACTACATTAAAATAGGTTTTTTTAAATGGTTGTAAAATTTGAATTTGCTGGAAATATATTTATTTAGACTTACAATTTGTTTCAATAAAGTTCTATAATGTTTATATTATGAATATTATACCTTTTGACTTTAAACGAATTTATTTAATTAGTAAAAACTCTATTTATTGTCCTTAATATCAGAGTAAAATAACATCAAATTCGTTGTAAATTATCAATCAGTTCTATTTTTTAATTAAGATTCATAGATTTATAATTTAATTACTCTCAAAAGGGCCTCTGCTCCTATTGAATCCTATTTATCAGATCCTATTGAAAGAAATATTGAATCAAATTCAATAATCATAAATTGAAGACTCATTTAGTATAGATCTGCCATTTAAATCTACTACTGAAACAAATCATAAGTCTTGATCTCGAAATCATAACTAGGAGTAACTACATATTTTACAATTTAATAGTTTGTCTAATATAAAGCCTTGTGTAAATATGTGGCATGTCCAAATAGTTCATAATCTCTAACATTAGTAATTAATCAAAGGTTAAAGTACACTTAATATTGTGCAATTTTATCACAGGAGTTGCCGCATGATTTAAGGTTGATTTTTATGATTCTCTATTGAGTTACTTTATGATTTGTCAGTTTGTAAGCTTTTAAATTACTTATTATTTTCTTAAGACCAATTCAATTGAAAACTCTTATGATAAATCACACAATTTAAAGGTTACTTAAGACATTTACCACAGATGCAGATGGTTTAAAATGAATTTTAAAAGGTATTTACATCTTTACATTCATTTTTTTCTGTTTTTGTGATTATATGGTAAACTAAACGACACAATTATTCTTCATTCAAGCTTTTCCTACACATTAGCATATCCTAAATTTACAAGTAAAAACAATAAATGCCGTTTAGGCCAGCGATATGTCTTATTAACACAAATGTTTTCAAATTAATAGTAGATAGAATGTAGAATCCCTGTAATTTTGCCAGCGTCTTATTTTTCTCTATAATATAATATCTAGCTCAAATACCTTGAATATTTTTAGAAATTCCGTTCTATTTAAGGATATCTTATAAGACAATTCTGACTGAATCAATGCCTAATAAAACAACGATTGAATGAATTTGACTATGGCATAGCAAATTAATGTTGTAGCATAACAGAAGAACAAGTAATATTATTGTAATAGTATTTTTACACCTAAGATATACTATATATATCGCAACATTTACAAAAATTCGTTAACAATTTTAATTTATATCAATTCATCAATATTTTGTCAGACAAAAAATCCCATTTCTTGCTCTGGAATTCAAAGCAAGTGAATATTGTCACAATATATTTTTCTCCATATTTTTTAGATAGAAATATTTTGAACGAGGGATTTTTTGTTCAACAGGCTACGAGGTTACCTATAAGTATACTCCCATCATGTTTTACTATAATCCTCACATTCTAAACTACAGTTTGTATATTGACATCGTTTTAGTTTTGAATCAAGTATGAGTATAAATTTCAAAAATTAATTGGCAGGAATTATGAAATTTTGTTCGGAATTGTGAACACTCAAATAATAAATGCTTATACAACCTTAATAGTAATAATTTTATTAATTACTCGATGTTGAAATATGTTATTTATTATATCGAAAAGTTGAAAAAGTAGATTTTTTTCTAAATATCGAAATATTTTTAAACCTGCATGTGAAATATAGAAGGAACGTTTATTCTCTGCGTAATGCAATTATAAAGATTAATTCTAGAATCAAAATTTCATAGTCCACACACGTATTGAAAAATCCACAAATCTGCTTTTTTATAGAAGCGAATTTCATTATGTTTGGTAATATGATAAAATGCGTTTATACAGACGCATAAGCAGTAGGTACAGAAAAAAATTAATTCGGTCTGCAGAAAAATCCAACAAAATTAAATAAACCAATAATAGAAAAATAAATGATATCTATTACAGTTCTATGAAAGGGGCAAAGCTACACCTAATTTCTGATCTAACTAGTCACTATTTAGACGTATCCTGATCTAAGCAGCATTGCTAGACCTAGTGAAATCCACTAGACGCAGTGAAATTTTACTACACCTAACAACAGTGGTTCTAAGTAATCCTTTAAACTACTTAAAACATGACCAATAATCCAGATCTTCCTGCGGACCTTGACATATCTTGCGTATGCGTATTGTCAGTCTCAATGAGATTAAAAATGAAGAAAACGACAAAGTTTCGTACGATCTGGTCGAAGTATCAACAGTTTTCTTAGTATTAATCAGAATATTAGGTGTATTAACAGTTACAATTGGCAGCTTGGGGTCCCTGAGGAGCGTCCGTTAAACGTTGACCTTTGGCTCCGCTGCTCATCAAGGTCGGATCGGTATCTAAGCTATCGGACATCTTGTCGCATATTATATCTACCAAACGTTCGAAAACGGCCTGAAAATTACCCCAAAAATCAAATTTTTAACAGACATAATTCATAATAAAGCAAAAAAGATATCAATAATAATAATTGTCAACGCAGTTTTACCTTAACGTTTATATTTTCTTTAGCACTAGTTTCGTAAAACTCGACGCCAAGTTGCTCTGCCAGTTGTTTTCCTCTTTCGAAGCTAATAACACGTTCATCCTCCATATCGCATTTGTTTCCCACCAGGATCACTTGGGCGTTGTCCCACGAGTACGTCTTGATTTGAGTTACCCTGAAATTGACCGTTTACGAATCGATTTCGCTGGATACTTCATTTATATTTACCAATCCTGCACGCTATTGAAGGATTCTTCGTTAGTAATATCATACATAAGTATAAAACCCATTGCGCCCCTGTAGTAGGCTGTGGTAATGGTTCTGTATCTTTCTTGTCCTGCTGTGTCCTTTAACGAAATGGAAATATAAGTAAAGAGAATTAAACTAACACCAGTCGAGTAGTATTAAATATTTCTTGAATGAAATTATTTTATTAAAAGTGTTAATGATAAGTCGGGAAAAAGATCTAATTTCTAGTGGTTACAAATGAATATTTTAAATTTTGGTATCACTACATCTCGGCGTTTAAATTAAAATAATCTCCGCATTTGGAATTGCAGGAAATTAATTCCGATTTCGAAGTCCCTGTTAGAATAGAACTAATTTTCGTGATACATCAGTAGGTATCGGAAATTCGAAATGCCTGTTTACAGAAATAGCACATTTAATGTGCTGAAAAAAAAGTATGTCGCTTCAGATTAATTATTGATTTACATTGCCGCACATCGCAAACAACTCGCAAATTGTACATACAGGGTGTTTCATAGTGTAAGTGGTTATCGACATATGTAGGTACACATGTGAATGTTTGAACATACCCATATTTGCAGCTTGACTCTCTTGTCGTGTCTGAAAACCGTTTTAACCTTGAAGTCTATTCCCACTGTGCTCACGAAGGCCGAAGTGAAGCTGTCGTCGGCGTATCGGAAGAGAAACGACGTTTTTCCGACGGAACTGTTTCCTATGATGAGCAGCTTGAACATGTAGTCGAAATTCTGATCGGCCGCGTCCTTCTGCCATTTCGGATCTGCTCCTGCCATCTGCAGAAAACGTTGAAAAAATACACTTTGTTGGTGTAGTCGCATGCAAAAATTATTGAAGGAACTTACGCTATCGGAAAAATAACCTAAAGGTATTTCAACCCAAGAAATAAGCCTGTGAGATCGACGTTTTTTTAAATCGAACGCATGGTCTCCTAATAATCCAAATATTATTCATAAGTGTTTGCAGGAACGATAAAGACCGCCATAAAGGCTAAAATATATGCTAATCTGGTGTTTAATAGTTCACCTCAAAACAAAAGTAAATATACACCTACATACATGAACATACTTTCCATTCGTTTAATCATATCGATTATTTAACACAGCTTTCCTCTAAATATAGATATAGCAAGGACTAGAAAATATTGGGAAAAATGCATTAAATTGTAATACCTACCTGATAAGTCTTTTGTCAATTGTAAGTAGGTCAGCATATACACGGGTTGAAATTTTTCATCTGCTTTTTGATCAATTTATTCGAAGCGATTTTTAATCAAATCAATTTTCCGGGAGTGATTCGAGAAGAGTAATATAACTACGTTTTGAATTCTTACCAAGAATTTCAATTTAACACTTTTATGTCAGGAATTTCCAGGCGTAAATTTCTTTTCCGTTTTTTAATTTTACTTTAATAATGCTTACAAAAATTAAGTTTTATTTTTAATTAAGTATACTGTTCTATCAAAGCTGGTTCCTACATCAGGAAATTGGAGTGGAGTAAATTTAATTTCCTTGCTCATTTTGAAATGTTTTTTCAATTAATTTAATATTACCTACAATTGATGTGAAAATACTCAAATTCATGTTCATAAATTCTAATTAGCTTAAAAAAGGATTTTGGTTACCGGCAGGATATCCGGTGTAGGTCAGTATTATAGAAATAATATAGAAAAAATATTTACGTAATTAAGAAATGTTGTTAGTTCTAAATTAAAAAATAAATCATTAAGCATAAGTATGTTTACTATATCATTTATGAAAGTATAAATGCATTGCAAGTAAAAGTTTATTTACAGTTATCTTCAGCTTTATTGGTTCATGTACTAGTTTGAAATTTATAGGTAGGCACATAACTTTTACTTGTTTCATTACTTAAAAAGCAGTCTAACTCGGTAATGAGCTGGAAAAGTAGCACTAAAATCTTGTGACACGTTGCATCAGAAACTATACACTATAGATGAATTAGTTGTTAAACCATATTTTGAAAAACGCACCAAATTAGCATTTACTTTAAAATTTCTGTTTCACTTAATAATAACTTTACCCGGCATAATAGAAGTTCATGCATTAACTTGTTTAAAAAAATCACAATTAACCACAGTATGTACACTTATAGGTGGACATGGAAATAGCAACTGATAAGAAACGTACGAATACGAACTGTACGGTTTGATAATTTACTAGTTATCGAAGTTAAGTTTCCCAGTTTGCTTACGGTATGGCCTTTAATTTTACAATTCGATTAATTGTATATGTATTAAGGTTGTCGCGCATTTTTTATTAGGTTAAACTTACTGTTAAATTTTAAATTTCAAAGCTAAATAAATGCGAGCATACAAACAAATATAGGTTCAGTCAATGAGTCAATTAGTGACGGTTGAAAGATTATAATTTGGTAAATGGTACTAAGTGGGACTGTTGTTAAGGATAAGAGAAATTGTGGTTTAATTTTTATAGATTTTTATGGTTTCTCACTGCTTCCTAACATCTGAAGAGTGTTTATTATCGATTACCTATCCGCAATTTAACGAATGATTGGAAACTCGAAAAGAGAGGAAAACGCAGTAATCAGAAAATTAAAGAAAGCACTCAAGTTCCACTTGCAACGTAATTATAAGTAAACCAAGAAACGAAAATCGAAATTGGCACAGTAAAAGAGTTTCATAAATTAAGAGTAATAAACAATACTAAATCAACTGATGAATATCTATAGAATTTCTTCAATCGCATGATGACTAGTTTCATTTCGATTTACTATATCTAATAGAAATTTTATAGAAATTCATATTATGTCCATTAAAATAAAATGTAGATTGTTCCTATATTAATTATGAACGAACGCAGTTAAACACAAATACAGTTTAAAACGTAGATCTGTTTTAGCATTTACACAATTTTAATTTTTTTTAATTTCTAGTGCGATAAGTGAGTCTACTTTTATTTGTTTTTCACTGCTTTACTATATATGTAATGTAATCTGAAAACTTTGATAAATAAAAATAGATTTTATTAATATAAATATCGAAAGGATAAATCATTTATAGAAAGATTATTTAATTAACGATTGCTTAAGAATATTTATTGATGCTGTATATTTTTTATTCTATTATTGTACTACTAATTTTATACTATTATACTTTTTATACTATTATTTAAATATGTAGGTAGGTATATAAGGGTAGAGTACAAAGAGCTTAATTCAATATTTTATAAAATAATCGAACTTTAATAATATTCATATATTATCAATTAATTCAAATATCCCTGAGTATACTTCAATCGATATTAAATTATTTCAGAAGAAAATTGCAGAATCTTTAGAAAACTTTCTGGTATTCTCGTCTTTCTATTATCAAAGTACGATTTCGAGAATTATTTACCTAAATTTATTAAATAAAATCTTTTCAAAAAAGGAAAATGGCACAAAAAATCAGTTAAAAATTAGCTTTTGCATGTTAGGTTAAAATCCTATTTTTATCACAATCGAGAGGCTCACAAAATGACACGAAAATGTAAAAACTCACCACTATGTAGTATAAAATCCTCTACTCTTAACAAGAATCGCTTTGATTCAGTCAAACCCGCACTTATAATTTCTAATAATTTACTATTTACAAATTAATGGAGATTTTCCGAGCTCTGTGGGTCTTTGGAACAACCAGGACAGGCTTTGGAGCTTTCGCTTGAACTAGGAGGGATCGATCAGCTGGGAAATGTACACTCCCTGATAAAGGTTCCACGCCGATCGATATTAAACTTATGGTGGGCGAATCAAAGATTTTCCGCGGGAACTTTTGATAGGAAAAAATATTGATGTTGTAATTAAATGTTTTACAAAATGTATTGAAGCAGAAATGTTGAACAGAATTGGTGTAAAACATCAAATTTTAATTATTATTGATCATTAACTGAAGAAGGAGTTTTTTTTTACTTTTTTTACAGGGTCCAGCTTTAGTGCTACTTCTTCTGGAATACATTAGAAATAGAGAAATAAAAATTAACGAATTTAGTTCATGTTCTAAAAAAGCTTTCTTTTCCCCTTTAAGAACCATGGTGGTCTTAAAATAACAATGTATTAATGCATTTTTTGGGAAATCCTCTATAAATGAATGTAATTTTATAAGGTGTACTTAACAAATATCGCTCTTCTGCTGGATCCGGAGGATCCTGAAATGCTATTCGATAACAACAGAAGTTTTTATAATATTTTATAATAAATTACTTTAGGTGTATGTACTTACATTTTTATTGTGATAAACGTTTTGTATACTGAACACCATACCTAACGAAATTTTTTGCTCCGAAAATTATTATTTCAGACACCCGACTGAATGATTCCTGAACAATAAACATGGATAGGTACTCATTATTACAAAAGCGGGTAATTACGCATTCTAATCAAAAGTTAATTGCCATTGGCGCACGTATGGTAATTTACATAAGTTCTACTGCATTACTGATGTAGGAATTCTTCAAATATCTTTCGAAAATCTGTATTTATATACCTGTAATCAATAATCTTGAAGATTATTAGAAGTAGATACATAGCAGTAACATATGTATACCTAGTAGAGACTATATGAGAATATTTCATATTAATGAGTCATAAACCTTATAAGGAAGAGAGTTGTAATGAAAAACCTTAAATTGGTTAAACCTCAATTTTCTCCTTTTTATTAAGAAATAAAAGCTTTATTTATAGAGATTATAGTTTTACAGATCAGGAGATCATGTCGTATTCAATTTTAGAATAACAATTAAAGTAAAAAAATCAATTCAATATATTTAGCCTTGTTTTTGACATAAAAAATTTATTATTAATTATAAAAAATAATTGAATGAAAAAGTATAACATAAAATTTTTATTTGCATGGTTGTTTGTTGTTTTGAAGTACAACTGCAGTGATAAACAATTAAATAAACTAGTAGAGAGTTGTACGTTTAAGATTGATTTTTTTCAGCCTAATTTATCTAATAATTTTATTAAAAATGAGTTGTACGAGTATTTAAGTTGCCTTGCAAACTTCATTATGAATTCTCTTGCAAATTTATTTTCGAATCGTAGCCATGGAAACACACTATAGACTATGTGAAATTATTTATTTGTGAAAATTTCATTCGTAGTGGAAATCAATGAAATCGAATACTAATTAAACACCAATATGTACTAATTTACTATTTATTTGTCTCTTTTTTGTTTACAAAATTAGTGTAAATAGTTTCAGTAAATATATTGAATTTCTGCATTCGAGACAAGTTTTCTAAAATGAAAATTCACCTTTCAAATTGTCTGCCAAAGGCCTGCAATAAAAATTACTAAGATATTAAAAAAATCATTATTCAAACGGTATATTTATTTGTTTACTACAAGTATGTGGGCGCCGTATTTATTTCTACAGCTTCAGGGTCAAAACGACAATCATTTCGAGTCCTCGCATTTGTACAAGTACAGAAGGCTTGATTATAACATTCTGCACGTATGTAATTGTAGGAATTATGCGCGAAATAATCTTGTTGATACGGAGTGTACTAAATGCGCATGACAATTCCGGGCGTCCTTTATCGACAGGAGCACAGGAAAATTCTGTAACTAAGTCTCCATCTGTTGCAGGCGTTTGAAAGACAATCCGGAAAAACCGATGATTTCCTTTCGGTTTTCCGAGTGAACGATGGGTTATTTGACATAGAGGGAAAGGTTTTATTAAGTGCAAAACGATATATTTGATGTGGGGCGTGGTTGTAATACCGTGCTTAATAGGACAAATTATGTTACGATTAATTTTCGTACGTGTAACCACTAAAAAATTTATAAAAATCATTTTCATCGTGCCTGCTGAGTTGAAAGGGTCGAGTTTTAATTAGGATTCCGAGGACACACGAGCGTCTTCGTAGTATATTAATTTTTTGACAATACTTTTGTTTAATTATTCCATATTTCTTATTACTTTTATCAACATTCCTCTCTGCTTCATTAATTTTATTTTTCATTTTTATTAATATTACATTAAATAGGTGTTCTTTGAAAAATGCTTACTTTATCTAAAACCACTCGTTTGAGTTAGGTGATAAATCCAATGAAAAAAAAAACTTTTTCCTGCGGGAAAAGTAGCAAGAGGTAGGTACATACAGATACTTGAAAGCATTTAGTTGTCAGGAGAATATATGGTAGGTTTGCACCAATAAATTATTTTATACCCGAGGTTTTCCTTCGTTCAGTAGGTACAATATATTTTTAATTCCTAGAATGACTAATGTTTTAAAATACGAAGCTGCCTGTCTTAATTTAAATCAGAGAATTATAGCATATTTTTTGATGGCAACGTAGCGTAAAAAAATTGATACACGAAATCAGAAGGCTTTTCCACCAACGCTCTACTAAAATATTTATGAAAATTCACGCGAATCTTTATAACGAGACCTTTTTTTAGGCTACACGTTTCGTTGATTGATTGTCACCTCCTATTCAAAGCAGGAACAGAATGAAAATAAATGGCTTTTCTCATCTTTTATACCTCAGCAAATATTTTGAAGAATCCATGCCGTCCTTAAAATATCATAGAAGGGCATTTATATTTTATTACTGATAATACATCAAAATGACGAATGTTACCGGAAAATCTCTTGATCAATGGTTGAGTTATAGTTGGGTAATAAAAATACATTATAGTATTATCATAATTGAAAAGAAACAAAGTACGAATATTTTCTTTCCAATTCGTGTGTTTCTTGATTTATATGAAATATTATTTTTTTTTGAGTTATCTAATTAATATACAAGGGTAATTTTGTAGAGTTGCTCGAATTTCATTTGTACAACTTTGTACGCCAATGCGTTCCGGGTTTCTTTGTCAATAATTTTAGGAAATAACCCTCTTTCTGATGTCATGAAAGATTTGAATACAAAAGCGCATTATTAAGAAATTTATATGAATTCCTCATGTAATTTCATTTCAACGTCAAAAATAAAAGTATATGCCGAAACCAAAGGACTGAATGGAAGAATATAAACCTACTAAAACCCGCATATTTAAATGCTGATGGTCTCTGAATGTCAAACACGTATTTCACCTATGCGGATGAATGGGAAATTGTGCAGAGGAGCTTATTGTCGTTGATAAATTTTCAATGCAGTAGTAATATTTTTTAGAACTTTTCTTGCGTATGGTAATGCCCACTCAGCGAGTCTTTGATGGTTTTATTGATAAGAATGAATTTAAATTTTACTACTATTCCGTTAGGTTTGTACGAGTGAACCGCTTTAAATTACCATTGCAGAACCTTATGTAAAATTTGCTTTTGTAACTAAATTTTTGCAGTATTAAAAATGTACCTACATATGTACTTAGGAAACGAGAAACGTAAAACAAAATGGTGAAAGCTTTCGTAAAATACGCATTGCGTAAACTAGGGGTTGGATTTATTGACGAAAATCGAGTTTTGGTTTGAACTTTGAATAAAAGGAAGTAAACGGTGTTGAACCAAATAATAAAAGCTGGTAATATACTTGACTAAAATAGTTTATTTTGGGTTGTTTTCTAGGAATTTCTAGCCAGGAAATATTATTTATTTTCTTATAACGATGCCGATATATCAGTTTTGCATTTCTGTGTTGCGATATATTCTTTTCCCCATTTTCGATTTCCTCGAGATTTATTAAAATCTACAAGAAAGGTAGAGGAAAAATGCCCAAGCGAGCGAGGAATTCTTGTTTCGCATATTTACTGACAAAGGCTAACATCTGCGTTAGCAAAATGATAAATGACGCCAACCAGGAATATATTTTAACTTTAACTTTCTTTTGATTTCTGCAATCTACAATATTTTTTCGCAATGACGGGAAGTCTAATCTATTTTTTACATTTTATATTTTTTCCTAATTAATGGGAAATTGTGTCGTGTTATATTGTATAAGATTGTTTGATAAGTAAGGGAATAATAGGGCAAATGATGGTATTTTATTCAAATTATACTTTTCAGCTACACCTGTTGATAACGCATTGTCTGCAAAAAATATCAGGTACAACCGAAACGTTGATTAAAATGAAGCTATGCGCATGCTTCAAGCAGCGTAAGCATCCTCACATATCGTACAGGTAAACCCAACATCGAAGGTCCGAAGGTCTACTGCGTGTAGCGTCGCGTCGGATCGGCATCCTGACGATTTTCCGCCGACCAGAGAGGTGTTTTCGTCAATTTTCAGTTCAGCAACGAAAATACCCGCGAAACGTCGTGGGCACCGCGACGCTCACGTTATAGTTACGACGCCGACGCGCTCATTTCGAATTTTCGCCTTTCAGTATCGTATGTTTTTTTTAATTAAACAGGGATTGTAGCATGACCCCCTTATGGCCTAGGTACGTGGTTTTATTTAGCTTGGCATGTAAATTTTAGAAAATATTTTAACATTAAAATTAATATTAACAACGATTTAGTCGACAAACAATAAATTGTTGGTACAAAATAATATTGCTGGATAGTCGACAAAAAACTATTCATAATTGGCAAACAACTGTTGCTATTGTCGACTATTTATAATATAACTGTAGTAGTCAGTATAATAGAAATAAAATCAATATTTGGCATAAAATAATTAATAACAAGTCATAAACCAAACAAAAATGGAGTTTGAAACCTCAATTCTGCAAATTTGACAAACCGAAATTTTAACTTAAACGCAGTATAATATAATCCTAGTTCATTCTACCAAACTGATAAAAATTAAACATACAAACCATTTAATGCAAATATAGTTATATTGATCTACTAACATAGAATAATAATTGTAACAAAATAATTTTAATGAACTACGCTAAACGCAATTCCGCTTTGCAGACCGCAAAGTATGCCATAATTTTTTCGGGATCCGTTAATATGGAGGTATTATAAAAGTTCTAATTAAACTCGAAGTTTTTGGCACGGCGTTTCACAAAGTTGTTTTCAAAGGCTGTTATTTAATTTCACCACACAGTTTGACTGGAATCGTACGGCTCTCACCGTTATTGTAATGCAAGTAATTCCGCGTGGACAATAATTAAATCAACTGTTGAAGTTTTGTTGTAATTAAAAATAAATTTATTATTTTTTTTATTTTCCTCTTTTCATCCAATTAATATACCAATTTAATTAAAATTTATAATGCTCCAACTTTGTTGAGTTTCCGTTTGAACTCTTTTTATAATTGCCCTGTTTGGTGCTTTTTCGATTACAACGAAATCTTTTGATTAAATGTGGTGGAGTCTCTTTTCATTTGAGCGTAGCCCGGAAATAACAAGCCTTAGAATATGAAACGTTTTATTAATTGTCCTGAAAAGTTGTGTTACTTATAGAGCATTTTAAGGTCAATTTATTTCTCTAGAACTTTTGTTCATAACTTTAAATACTTTTATAATTTTCGTCATTAAAGAAATAATCTTTATTATTATAAAGTATTATATAAAGTTCTCTGTCTTTTAGAATTACATAATTAGCAGTCTTTCTTGTAGAATAAAATTTTGCTTTGGAGAGGCTGATAAAAAATATTTTTTTTTTAAAAAGAAGCCTAGATTGATTTATTCTAGGCCATGCCCATGAATTGGTAGCTACTGACAATTCGAATCTAGTTGGCTTGGCTGGCTCTGACCGGCTCTAAAATTGTCGCCAGTGTTATTTTAGTACACCTGTTTGAAGGTCTCATACTTATCTCTTATAAATTGAAACGGTCTTATGATATTCCGAACCGAACGCACGATCGCAGAGCTATTGTTTCATTTTATTTTTATAGTTTACGAGATACCTACACGTATTCTAATACTCGTTGATTGACACTTATTGCCATATTTTTATTAGAAATAGTCGGTCATTGATCTAAGAATTTATATTAAAAGTCCTAGAAAACTGTTGTTGATATAATCCTAGATGGATATCGAGCGTATTTGCTACAATTCAGGTCTTCATTGGAAGATTTAATATACATAGGACAAATAATTAAATGTTCAATTGTATTTTGACAAAACCCATCGCCGTTGCCTCTTTAGTTCTTGAATAATACATAAATATAATTTCCGGCTTTTAATATAATGATAAAATGTTCTTGGTCACAGTCCCTCGATCGTAACATCAGAAAATTATTAATAAATTACTTACGGAGTCCTTTTTATTTTTAGAAATTGTTTACCTAACGCACTAATTCGAGATACGAACCAGTTATTTTTGTCACTAGTACGTGTTCCAATATTGTGTTTTACAATGGTAGTATCAGACGATTTACCCAGGAAGATGCTATGACAATAACGACATATCATGACATAATAAACTGTTAACTAATAAAACTAAACTAACTGGTAACTTCTGATCACTAAACAAAATGTCGAAAATGTCAAATGCTATAGACTTTTTAGTTCAGTTCGAGCAGGTGAAATAAACGGAGAGTGTCCAATTACTATAGGAACTTTTCTGAATATACATTTCAAATAAAATGAAACGTATAAAGTTTTACCCAATTATTTACTTCTCTTGCAATGGTGTATTTTTTGCATGTTACGATTCTACCTGAGTTTCCATCGCAACAGTATAATTGAACAAAAACGCTTTTTAATTGAATGAAACGCTACGAATGGACATTTTAACATGATTTCGTTAAAATACTCATCTTTAAATTGGCTTTTTAAACCCAAATAAACTTCTCTTCCTACATCCGTATATTTTTGTAAAATAACGAACTAGCAGACAAATCTCAAATTTTATATTTAGTAAAATAACTGGGTCGGACACAACGATGTGTTGCTGCTGCTGTTCGCGCTTCCGTATTTTGTGCTGGTTATTTTCATTGCGTACTTTTTTTTAAATAACTAAATTATCGCATTCAAATAAATACACATGTCTAAACCAGCACTGATATGCACCGTTTTAAACTTGTGGCTTCACAATATTGTGCTGGTAAGATCGTAAAATAGAAGTTCCGACAACTCGAATCGAATAATATTTTGTCGAATCAAAATTTCGTAAATTTGGAACAATGTTTTATCATCATTTTGCAACCGTTATTTATCGAATTCCTGCAGTAACTGTAAAATAGGCAATAAACGTTGTTAGCAATCCTTCATTGCTATAATAAAGCTGAAGATTAAGTGTGTTATTTAAGAGGGTAATTAGAAATTTTAGAATTATATCGCAGTTTGCAGTTTATGTTCTATGCAAATTATAAATTTGAATTTCTTAAATATTTACATTGGGTACAATGTCAATGATACTATTAATAAAATTTCGTAATATATTAATGTCATTGTATGTATTCAATATTTAAATTAAAAAAAATATTAATAGTATCTAGTCATAGAGAATTAATTATTAGAATCTAAAAAGATCTTATATATTTTTTGGTTTTACAAATTTTCGAGGAAATGAATTAAACGTTTCATATATTTGTTATTTTGCAATAACAACCAAAAGACAAGTATTAATTAACAATTGTCGAGCCAACCTTTGATTATATTTTTTATTATAGGTCCTCCAAATCATAGCAGAACAAGCAAATCTAAAACAAATGAGTAATAATTTGAAACAACTCCATCAGTCCCGATCGTTTCAAAAGAACAAAATATCGCAATGTGGGTGTCTTACAGAGCATGTATGTCATATTTCCGGCAGATGAAATAGTATATCTGTCGTATGGTCACCTTATTTACGTTCCCTCCGCTCCCCAGCCAGATAACGAACTTAGAACACCGCCGATTAGAACCTCACTTGACGAGAATCCGTTACCGTTTCCCTCTTGCCTGTCGAGACGAAATTCCCTTCGAACTAGCCAAAGAGAAAATCCGAACTGTGATCAATTCGACGGCGTAGGTTCAAAAAGCATCGACCTGGAAAACAGAGGACCTCCGAACAGATACAGAACCAACGGCTTCTCGACGTCCGAATCCCCTCAACTCATAAGCAGATCGGATTTGATAAACAGATCCGGCGGTCAACAAGCTTCCACGTCCGGATACACGTTTCAGAAAAGTTCAAAATCCCAGGAAACGTACGATACCGGCTCCAAACCAGGGACTTCCAGCGAACAGCCTAAATGCTCGACCGAAAGACTGAAATCGCCAAATAGATATTTGAAAGCGAAAAATCCCGCAGAGCCCGTGTCGCAACAACTGGACCATTTTCAAATATTCTCATCCACAAATCGGTCCAAGAAATATTCCAATCCTGTCGAAGCAGCTGATCACCACCCCCAAGGTTTCCGATTAGGCTCGATCCACCGACCGCCGAGAACCCAAAAAACCAACGAGTCCAACAAAAATTTAAACGACGCCGAATTTCTCGCTAGGAACGCTGAACAACACGAAATTAGAAGAGGCGAAAGTTCTAGTCGATCAATCAAATCAAAGACTCCAGTCGAGAGGTGTAAAAACCCTCCGGAATTAAGTGACTCGCGTAACAAACCGAGTCCTCTCAAACTAGAATGCGATAACATCAGCCCGGAAGCTTCAGAAACCGGCTCACTATCCAGGATAAAGAACAAATTTTTCAAATCGAAAGAAGACAGCCCGGCGTTCGACCGTTACAATTGCAGCAGCAACAAATCCAGCAAATCGAGCAAAAACAGTTCGAACTCGTCGCGATCGAGCAGCTCCAAAACGATCACAGGCGCCAGACCGAGGACCGCATCCGAATCCACCAGTATCAAAATTGATCCTTCGAAGAAAAAACTGAGCACGGGTTCGTTCAAATCGTTCCTGAGGTCGTCGGCAGTCGGGGACAAGGCGCCGGAGCCGCCGCTCAGGCCCGAGAGAAAGAAAGAGCGGAAGCCTTCGGAGGAGCCGGTCGCGAATCGCGAATTGGTGCAGCGCAGTGATATAATCAACACGAGGAGTGATCGAGTACAGGAAGTGAAAAGCGGCGGCAAGGCCGCCGCCAAGCGCGAAAAGTCGCCTGGGATACGGTTTTTTCGGGCGCAGTCCTCCAGTCCGAGGACTTTAGGACGAGATAAGACCGCGTTCGATTTCGACGGGCTCTTTAGACAGGATTCCAGAAGGCTGACTGTCAATTCGGGGTTTAATAGAATCGGGACGCGTTTTGGGTCCGACAACAATATCACTAGTTTGACTGGTAACGAATCAGGTGAACCAGAGTGATTACCGAGTGGTTAGTTTTATTTAACATTATTTTTTCTTCACTAACATTTGAGTGGTTTTGGTTTTACTAATCTCACATTTCGTTTATTTAAATAAGGAGTGTTAAGTATCTAGCAATTTGCCCCTGCTTTGGGTTTTTGATGAGGTTTTTGATAATTTGGTTCTTTGATGTTCTCTGATGTTCTATTCGTTCTCTGATAAAACTGTGGTAAAATTCTCTTCAGAAAATAATACAAAATCTTCATGTTGTTAGAGAATTTTTCGAAACATCATCGAACATCCTTGCTAACTCGGAAAACTTTCCTTCTCCAATTAATGGATTTTGTTTGCTTTTACCTTCATTCGGTTACGTTTCCATCGGTATATGTGTAGTTTACCCGAAGAAGTTTCATATCCGTTGTCTTTCCTATCAGTACAAGAAACAGCAGTGTTGTTCACGTAAATATTCAGGTCGCTCCAAATATTTTATGCATTCAACGTACAAAGTTCATAAGCCGAAGGTTATGTATGCAGATGTTGATGCCGAGATGTAGTCGTTATGTAAATAAATTAGCAGAAGGGTGAAATTTGTCTGTTGGAAAACTGGTAAACTGTTAAAAAATTAAGCTGCCGTAGTATTTTTAAAAACTCGTAATTAGAGAGACGGAAATGTTACAGCAAATTAAACAATTTTAAGCTCTACTTACCTTAAACTTAGTTCATTTATTAGTCACTTTGAAGCTTTGTAAGTTCGAATCTAATCTATCTAGGATTTCTAAATGGGTTAAACTGATGGTCAATCAGTCTGTAACGACTGTAATATTGCGCCAGATGACGATTTTCAAATCAGGTTGCCCATTTACCTCAGTATCCATTCTTTCCCCAAGGTAACTAATTACAGATGTAAATTACAATGAGCCAGTCAGTGCATCTGTCATCGACTTCTGTAACTTTATAAGACGATAATATAATAATTTCAAGTAATTATTACAAACAACATGGATATATTTATTCACAAAAATATTGTGAACAATAAAATCACAACTGCTCTAACCGTTCATATATTTACCACTTAAAAATATTACGTAAATTTACCACTTAATTGAATAAATAAAATGAATAATTGTATCTCTATCGATATTATATGCTCCTAAAATTTGAGGTTTTTCGAAAAATGGTTAGTCATTTTCACGTGCATTAAGTGCCACTTTTCTCAACTAACAACAGATGTATTATTTTCATTGGAGCGTGACTAAAGTACGAACTTCCAGATCTAAAATTAAAAATAGTTTTTTTAGGAAGATCAATCTTGCGAAATAAATAAAAAATATTAATATACTATTATAAAAATAAATAATAAGAAATAAATTATTTAATAATTTTCTAAAACCCACATTTACAATTTGTGAACAACAAAATGCTGGTTATGGTTAAAAATAATTTAAAAATTGATCGCTATTTAAAGAGGGAACTTCTCAATAAATAAAGTGCTTAAAATTTTGTGGAAGCGTGCCAGACTCGAATTCTCATTGGGTTTATCTATTTATAAAAAATGGGATAGGTATTTCGAAAAGAAATTTTTCTACGTTTCAATATCATTGTGAAATTTCGAAAAGTTCAATATGATTTATTCAAGTGGCTACAATGATTTATCGAAGAAAAATTGGTTCTGATAGATTTATTAATAATAAAAACTCGAGATTGCTTTATTGCATTGGCTCTTAAAGTGTTTTAAAATGACTTATTATATTCGTAAGAGTTTAAAAACCCTTAAATATCTTTTATATTCGTTTTAGATGTAAAAAAGGCCAGATCAAAATTTTTTATACCTTAATTAAAAATTTTTAATTAAGTATGTATCTATATGTCCTCTGGTAAATAAAAATACACTGCACATTGAAATGTGTGATACATCAATTAACGTTAATATTATTGATTTTCCAGAACCCATTTTATTTTTCCTGAAAACGACAATCCTTGTCAAATTATGAGCTCTCGTCGAAAATGAATAAAGTTTTAGTTTAGTCAGGATTTATTCATGTAACTAATTAATTTCACTAATTCTATGTCTAAATATTTACACAGGAAATTTTTCGGGCAATTATTTCAGCAGAAAAGAGGTAGACCTACGATATTAATTCAACGGTATCTCATTATTAAATTACTCTCGTTTCCTCTTCGGGTTCTTCGTTTTTTTTATAAGCCCCGAGTAATAAACCAAATCAAGTAGAACGAATAACTTAAGAAACCAGACAGTGTTTAATTTCTGCTTTCTCGTACAGCTAAGTGCTTTTTTCTGATAGGTTCTTGTCGGGCGTTTTTCGTATTGTTTTTTTTTGTTAGAGAAGAGGAAAGGCCGTACGTGCGCTTTAATAAAGTAAATAAAATTCGCAGGTTAATTCGACCATAAAACAGTTTTAGCTCGAAATGTTTCTGAATTGCAATTTTATTTTCTCGAAAGACGAAAGAAAATTTCTCTTTTAAATGTGTTTTGTAACATAATCTAACGTTGCAACATTATCGATGCATTAAGATTTTTTGCAACGAAGCTATAAATTACAAAAAACAAAAATGTTCGTATTGAATATCGCGAACATTCTTCCTGGCTCAATTTCCGTAAATTTTTAATGATTTCTTGCCGAAGGCCCCGACAATTTTCTTGAATATTTTTCTTAAGAAATATAATCTTTGAAACTTCCGAGGATTTGAACTTCAGACAAGGTAATTGGGATCCGGTTTGGAGCGTAATCTTGGGTAGAATCGATCGGCTGCGATCGTTCTTTTTCTACTCAACCGGTACTTTGTGAATTTAAGAGGACGCTAATAAAAGAAGTATGTATGTATCTATAGGTACATAATAATATGTGTATGAACACATTGTATGGAGAGAAATCGCAAATTCTTTGTGGATGTATATTAGAAATGAATCTCTTACAAGCTCGATTTTTTGCAATTAATTAAATCTACAATTACAGCGTATCGGTTTAACTTCAGTTTTGAATTAAATTTTCAAAAATTCCTTATTAGATAAGTAAAGTTCGAGTCTAAATCTTCTAAAAGCTTCGTCTATCAATTGTTTGCACTGAACACATCATAAATTCTACTCAATTGAACCCTTGTCCGTCTTTCTCTATTTATTATCTCCTGATTTATCGATTACAGCGAGAGGGGTCTCAAAATGTAGTAACTACTGCGATAGTAAAACAAAATAGTTTCTATAATAAAAAAGGCTTTTGTTAGTTTAAAAACGACCTTCCATAATTAACTAATTAAAAATTCACGAAAATTCACGAAACACCCACCAAAAATTGATAAAAAATAAATCATTACCAATGTTGAAGAAACTATCAAATTTACTTTAAAAAACACTTCAAGCAATTCTAAATTGGTACATTGCTAGCTAAAAATGCTATATACCATATAAAATTATTCTACGTAGTTTAGGGGCGGTATATTATCCCTGATGGTACCCCTTATACTGTATCTACGTGCTGTGAATTCCTTAAATGATTATATAAAATATAGGTTCATAAATTTTATAAACACTGTCTAAATAACTAATGGCTCATTTCATTTAAATCATGGTTGATATATAAACTTGAAATAGATACCACATTTAATTTCAAATTCGAAAACTACGTTTCCGACTATTCAAAATGCTATTTTGAGATGGTCAGGGTACATCAATAGTAATTTCGTTTTAATTGTAGTTTTATACATGCAAACGAATTGCCAAAGCTCTGTTGATGTTTAGTAGTTTGTACTTGAATTGTCATGAACAAACCGAAAAATATTCGTTGATTGATTGTGTTCTGTTTACCGGACTTGGCCGTCATTCAAAAGTGAATAATTAGCAATAAACAAAGGTAATAACGCTAAGAGGCAGTAAACGGTATGGGGTTTGAATCAAAATACACCATATTTCTGCAATTTTCATTCATTAAGCCTTGCAAATTAATCTTCTTTGAACTTATTTGATGAGTCTTCTTTGAACTTATTTTAAACTACCTTAAATGGCTCTATAGAGCTGAATGTACAGGCGCATTGTAAAGCTGCTTTATCATTTATTTTAATTTTTTTACCAAGTTTTCTTTGATTGATCTGTTGCCAATAGCTGTTGATAATATAACAAATGTTTTTTATCGCAGAAAAATCGCCTACAAAGAAGAGGACCTTCCTCAAAGGAAAATCACAATTACCGGACAACGAAGTCAATATGGCGAGCAATGAATCCCCGTTAAAGGACCTCATTCATCCTGCCTACAACGAACACTTGAAGTCTCACAATGCAGTTACATTTAAGCTCATTCGAACAGGTAAGTTTTATGTGTCCGAGTTTTCCGGTAGATACGTGTTCACTTCATTTTTAGTCTTTAAGAATTGATCGAAAATGCTAATTCATGTAAATTATTTCACAAAGGAATTTGCCGGATATTTACAAATTTAGGTATCCAAAGTAGCAACAGAAGTTTAGTTTCATTTTGCGAACGAAATAGGATTATATAATTAAACAGCCTTCGGTTATTTACAAATACACCAGCCAAATTGCTCCCTCTTGATTCTCATTTTCTCAGCAAACACCTTTCATTGAACTGGCCATTTTACCGCTACTTGGAATATCAATCAATAAGAGAAAATTAATAATGATATAAAGAGTAATAGAGATCTTTAAATGTTTGATATCACTATTCGATACGTTTTAAATTTCAATCAACTATCCTTTATTCACGTTATAACACGTTATCTTGTACATTTTAGAGTAGGTATGTAGGTACCTTTTATAAAATATTTCTAATACACATTCCTTCCAGCTATTTTTTTTTCATTTTATGCTTTTATATCGAGAAACGTGCGTGTTATATTAAGTTTATAATATAAAAAAAAGACAACTTTTCCCGCATCAGCCCTTCAAAATTGAATATTTTTGACTGCGGTTGCGAGGAAAAAACGCTCCATCCGAGAGCGATTTTGTAACAGGATTTCAAGAGTAATTTTCAGAGTGAACATATGCATCAATTTTCTTTAAGGAAAAATATTCGACATCTTTACCTTTTAATCTGAAAAAACATATAGGTATCTACTAAATAAATTTGATGCATAACAATAAAATGAATACAAATATTGATATTGATTTTATTACGTTCTAATTATAACTTTAAAAAAACTGCGCTATAAAAAATGGATTAATTCAGTAATTAAAAAATTAATAAAGTATAATCACATTGCCTTATTGACTGATTCACTGATTGGCTATTTATTTTCAAAAAACCAATAGAACTCTCGAATACAAAAGCCGTTACAATTTTTGAATAATATTAATTAAAATTCGCCGTTGTTTCAATATTGGCTAAAAATAAATCAGCATAAATTCAAGTTCGCATCAACACCATCACCTCAATAAAAATCCTGGTGCAGCAGGAGATGCGTTACAGTATTTTTGTTTATTTTCGATCGTTCGTCAAAGTTTATTTGATTTAGCCTCGTCTCTAAAATGACGAATGAAAGCATAAGCGAAGCGTACAACTATTAAAATTTTAGTAGCGAATAATAAATTCTTTGCAACATTGACTAGTTATAAAGCAGTACGGGCCAAAAGTAAAAGTCTCTAATTTATAGTTTCTAAAATGGCGTAAATTCAGTTTTGGTTGACATTTTTATATTTTTCAGGTCTCTAAGGTAGACAATTTCAATAAATGTATCTAATTATTTATGGGTAAATGTCTCGAGTGTAATTCATTGGTTACTGTAATATATTACAGTATTCAAATAATTCTAAAAAACGTAATTTAATCTAGGGGCAGTCGAGATTAAAGCAAAATCTTTTACTAACAAAGTTTTATGCACGCTTATTAATTATTATGGTATTTATTATTATACACCTACAGACGTCTTTATTGGTATAGAAGTTGCTTCAGAATTTCTACAAATTTCTTTCTATAGATTTGTGAGTTTAAAATAATGTATCTATTAAAAATATGATATTATCAATTGTTATCAATGGAAATGAGATGTTTTTTAATAAACTTTTTGGAACATTTTGGTTAAAAAAAACTTGGGATAGGTTTGTCAATATTATGTTTATTATGATTTTAGCGGAGCCTTTAAGTTAATTAATGTATTACCTATTTAAAATATAATTTTGTCAGTATTTCTATACAAAACTTATTTTTTCCGTGGGCAATTGCTAGTACTCACACGCTCTACTTGTTTCGCTATTACACCCACTTTTTTTTATTTTATCTTCTATTTTTTGTTTTGCATGATTTTTACTTAAATTTTTTATTTGCAGGCCGCACTTGATGCTTTGGTGGCTGTATTGGCTGTAAGTCAAGTTTTCCTTCTCTCGCGCTGGTTAAATAAATATTACCTTCTTTCTCCATGCCAATAAAGAACCATTTAGGAAAATTACAGTGATTATAGAGACAAATTTCATAAATATAATCATATAAATATGTCATTTTTTTATTAATTTATTTGAATAATTATACTCTATGAATAAATGATTATTTTTGTTAGTTGGTTTTCTTTGTGACTGTCTTTGAGAAATTGTTAGGTGTATATCGACGACGAAGGTATTCTTTGAAATGCAAACTCTTTCCTGCCAAACGAATGGATGATATTAAAATCTACTCTTGCGGAATAACAAAGGTTTAAACAGGATCTAGCTGTTCAATCGGCTTTGAAATGACGGAAACTTTTCAAATTAATTCACTATTTCCACTCAACTCTACACTCCAATTTAAAAGCGTGTTTTGTGTCAATATTGAAATTACAGTTTTTATTTTCTATTTATTTGTATGCTAACTAGGCTTTGCTAATAACGCTATAGTAATTATACTATAAAATTTTCTAAGATATAACATTTAATAGTCATTCATTATATACAATTAATTTATTGCTGGTGAAGATCTACGAAATAAATGTAGCTATTTTTTTAAATTGTTTGCGTTACTGGGATTGAATCTCCCTACAGTTACTTCTCTATTATACGAAACGTCAGTGTAAACTGTAATTAATTTTCATTCTATCACATAATAGGTGCGTTACTGTTCATTGTAGGTTAACTAAATCAAATGGCTCCCATAATATCGATTATAGTCGCAACAAGTGGAGTTAGAACAGTGCTGACCCTTTATTATGGAACTGTTTAGAAAGCTTCTAAAAAATCTACAAATGCTAAAGCTTTGGTTAATGCTTCTCTAAAGCTAAAAAAGCTTCTTATCTCATTATAACTCAACTAGAAAATTAGATGGAATGGTATGCCTCCAATTTTCAAAATATATTCGCTTGCCAAATTAAACAGGATTAATAAGTAATTAGTAATAACTAAGAAATAATTTTATCACGTATTTAATAAGTTTATGGGAATAGAAAAAACTCAACATAATAATAAAGACAAACGAGTGCGTTGCGTGCCGCAGAGTTTGTATTATACCTGTTGTATACACAGGGGAATTTTTCTATTCGTGATATTGCTATTTCCATTGTTAAAATCGATATGCCAGGGATGTTTCGCCGATCTAACATTAATTATGCCTGGCAAAAAGTGGGTCACACATGATCTTTGACCGATAAAATATACTGTGAAATATTAAACTAAAACAGCACTTTTATCGAACCTAACATGAAATTTTAAAGGAATATATTATTTGATATTTTTTTAGATTTTTGATACATCTGGGTCGTTTATTAACCAATTTTGAAATCACCAGTTCTTATACCTTTACAGATTTCCTGCCTCGATTTATGACACTATTTTTTTTATTCATCATTAATTATTTCAAGGAAACTAAATATTATTATTCTTCGAAAATAAATACAAGTCGGCTATATACACAATAACATAATACGTAGGTACCAATAGATTTTTGATTTTATTACTGTAATATATGTCAATGTTGTCGATCATTAGGTGCTATTAGAATTTACGATTATAATGAACAGAGAATTATCAATAAAGTTTCCTTCGTAAATAACTATTATATAGGATGTTTTGGTAATAAAACTAAATAAAACAAACAACATATTGTAAATTCACAAAAAATAATACATGTTAGTAATCAAAAATGTTCTTTCATAGACAAACATCGTGCTAAATAAAAATAACTTGTAAGGAATTATGGGTAAGTAGGTACATACTGTCTTTAAAACTAAAAAAACCCTGATTCCTCTGCTTTAGATTATGTAGTAAGTATAAAGGCCAACTGCGCAACACTCGATTAGTTTTGGAATGGTCAAATGACCAGGAAAAAAGCCATGTTGGCTTCGAAATCGTCAAATTTCAAATGATTCAATTTAACGAAGTGACTTTTAGTGTCAGTGGAATAGGAAACCGATCCTTATTTTCCGAGTCGAAGTCGGAAAATTGGAATCGAACTATTGGAACTATTCGAGCCAGGAAAAACGCAAAAGCGTCGGTCGTCTGAATTGTTTATTTGCGCGAATGAATTTTATATGATTTGACGGGATAGCATTTCGACTTTCGGGGATGAACATGCTATATTTAGCAACTGAATTATTCACGAGACATATGCTTAGATAAGCATGAGGTCCTATTTTTTCTATTCGATCCGCTATGTGTGGAATTTAGTGTTGAAATTGAGATGAAAATGTTTCTCAAGAGAGCCACCTACAAGCAGAATTTCTACCTGTTAGTGCTAAATTTTTAAAAGAAACGTATCAGTTTTAGTTTTTCTATCGATTCCTTTGAATTTTTTCCTTACTCATCCAAATACTGATGTTTTTGCCTTTTTAATACAAGTTAGGGAGACATCAAATAGTTTGATTTTCAACCTTCTTCCCAGTGTAGAATGATGTGGTTCAATTGCAATTACATTAAAGGAGTTTATACACAAAATATAAACCAGTTTGTATTTTGAATTTATTCGTAAATGGGAAAAGAGGAGTATTTTATTATCTGCTGCTCTACTCAAAACATCTTTTAAGAGGAAAGACTTGATTAAGGCCACATCTTTTAATAGAAAAACAAAATTTAAACTTGAAAACTTTATTCAAACTATTCAGTGCATCCTTAACAAATTCATCCTTGCTATTCATTCCTGCATGAGTTATTAGTACTCGATCAGAAATTAAACTGTATGAACTTTGAGTATAGAATAAATTCATCGGAGAGGAAACTCTCAACTGGATTATATAGTGAACTTTTCGAATTTCAACTACTGATTGAATAGAAAACCCATTTCAACTGGGACCTTTGCCTTTTGTTCGTAATACGGTGGTTAAATTAAATTATGTATCGCATTGTCAAATATTTACCCGGTTGGCCCTTCGAATACGTTATAAATTGAAATCCCAAAGCCTTTCGATTTATCAATTATACCGGAACTAATTCCCTTAAGTTTATTATTCCTCTAATCTATTTACTAGATTAACAGGCAATTACAAGTCTAAATATTTAGTAAGGATATACCTGGAGCGTTTTGTTGTGAAATAACCCACGTTCAAGACTTTGACGGAATAAAACAACTTTAATAGGGTCTTAAGTATATTTACCGTAGGTTTGAGGTAATTTTTGAAAATAGACCGATAGAATCAAACAATTGTTTGGTTTAAAATATTATTTATCTGTATATGTAGAAGTTCATAACACTTAATTTAACATTAATATTTCTATATGTTCTTGAGATAATATTGATGTTGCTAGCTTAAAACAGAGGAGTTGATAGTAATAAAACGAAACTTTCCTGAAAAGCAGTAGGGAGGTTCAGTTTGGAGCGATGAAGTTGGATTATTAACGTAATATATTTTATGACCTACTTCTGAATATCGTGCTTATAGGCTTTCTAGATGTTGTAAGACTAAGATAACATTCGCATAAGTTCTCGTGCAAAATTGGGTATTACAGAAGCTAATAAACTTGTATATTTACCTATCCATTGTTTAATTGGTATAATTGCTGAATTTTTGGCAGCTTTTATGATGAATTAAAATAATTTTTCTGCTGATTAAAGCGTATTTAAATTGGTAGACCTAAGGTGTTTTCTCTGATATCATTTAGATGCTTTTAATGAAATTTAGTTGTAAATAATTTAGTCCTATTCTGCATATGTTCGTTTATGAAATATTTGAAGCCTTTATTGTACAATTGAATTAATTATTTTTTTATTATCTATTTCTATTAAAACATTCCTTAAATAATAACGGTAGATACATCATTTTAAGGTAATTTCTATTGAAAATAAATTATTCACATATAATAGACCGATACACAGTAATCAAATTAAAACTTAATTTATGGATAGCTCAATTGATAGGTATCACTTGAATTATTAATTGGAATGAAATTTCCAATTTGATACATTTAATTTAATAATGAAGCATTCTATAAATATTTAACAATAATTTGTACGTAATTTTAATAAAATATGCATTTTAAATAAATAAGCCCATTAATAGCTTATGGTAAAATGTATTGCGGTGACAAAGAGGGTTCAAAAACCGTTATCTTGATATCCAGAACTTTGTTTTATTGCTTAAAAATCCATTTTTTATTTTGATTAAACTCATTTAATTATGGACCTTCTATTGTCTAATTTCTAGCGGAAAATTCGCTTAGAAAAATTCTTTTTGGTACAACGGTGTCAAGGGGCGAGGTCCCTAGCGAGCGGAGGCGAGTCTAACGTTATCCATGAATACCTTTTTTTGCAAAATCACCCCGATGGAGCTTAAATTCCCATCGTTGAAATAAATCATTCTGAACCTGGATCCAAGGATTACAATATAAAATGTAGTAAACGAGGTCCATATAGGCCGGCACGTGATTGGAAACTCAACAAGTCGATTTTGATAAGTTGCCAACGTTTGTCTAATATTTCACGATGACATTTTACTTTATTAAAACTATCCCCGTATTTTATCTGTTATTAACCTTCCTTCCACTTAGTAATTTTCCATCTCTCCCGAGTATTGAATACTAAAGTAGACATTGTGGAAATTGCGGAAAGTGGGAGGACAATAACAAAATGCTTCGCGGAGTATTTACTCTCCTCTACAAGTATATATCAGCTTAAATATTCGATTATAGAAATGGCGTTGAGCGTTGATAAAAAGGTCGGAAAAATAGGGATGAAAGGAAAGGGACAATCCAATTTGCCACTGTGTGTGCAATCTATAACCGAGCCATATAGGTAGACAGGAAAGTTTATTTAGCGTTTTTGTTTTAGTATACAATTTCGAATTCGATTCCGAGACCGCTCCGGCGAGTGAGAATTGCTCAAATTGAAAATTGTATCACTTAGGGAGAGGAAGAATTACGATTTGTTTGCCGTTGGATTCGAGCTCCATTAGCCTAATATGAAAAAATTGCTTTTTTCGTTGAAAATTGGACTTTTTTTTCTAATTGACAAGCTCTCAACTCGAAATATTATTTTATGTTTTTTTTTTCGTTTCACGGCTGTAATGGATAGGGATGAATTAAGTATAATTATGGATCCTTTTAATTTTAATCGATTCCTCACGTTTCTCATTTCCCCAGTCTTCTAGTTTTTACCTATACATAATTCACTTAGCTTTCTCAATTCAATCTAATTAATTTGATGCCGATATTTACCATTAGGTAAATACATGTTGCAACCAGACATGGTTTTCGTTGATTAGCAGATTTCACGTGAAACGGAGAAATTCGATTACAGTAAAGCTCAATTAGTTTATTGCTTCAAATTAAACAGGATTTCAATAGAAGACGCAAAACACTCCTATTTATATGAGTTGAATAATTGAGTAAATAATTGAGTGAGTAATAAAATTGATGCAGCACATTAGGAATCAATATTTACCATTTTTTTAATGGATACCTCATTTCTCAAATTATTTTGATTAATAAGAATATACATGTATGGTTATTAACAATTTGGCGGATTAATAAAACACCCGGCAAAATTTAGAACTCAATTACTATACAAGAAACAAATTCAGAGACAAAATAAATAGAACATTAAACCAATTTGCTTAGTCTTTAATAAAAGCTTACTTAGTATAATCATCAAATTTCTTATAAGTTCGAATAATTCAAGGAGTAGTTTTGACGTTGTCGAGACAAGGACAAGCAATTTCCAGCTGTGTTAACAATAGAATGAAATAGGAATCTTGAAACAAGATCGTAATTGGAAACCATTGTTTAAAGGAATTCAAAGGAACCGTATAAATGTTGCGGGTATAATGCATATAATACGGCTTAATTGACTGACTGATTGGCTATTTTTTAAAGTAATTGAAAGGATTGCTTGTAAATGGAAATGAATGCATGCTGATGTAGTCGATTTTGCCCTTATATGGGATATAACTGGCGTGTATTTTTGATATATAAATGTAAAAATCTGGTTAATAGTGTTGGACGTAATTCATCATATTACTTTCGAACTTTCTTAATATTTGATACGTCTTATGGAGAAAAATATATAGTTCAGAAAAAGAAATATCCTACGGAGAAATCTAATATATCTTGACAGTTTGGAAGTCCCTGTCTAATATAATTTAGATCGGCTGATTTATTTGTAATTGAAAAAATAAAATGTCTATCGATACAAAAATTTTAGCCATTATTTCATTTATTACCCAGACAAATGCATCAATCAAATTTAATGTAATTAGAAAATAACATTGACTTTATTTATTAAATACCTGGTTTATCGAGCTGTACCTACGTCTTACAGCTATAATCATATAGACCATGTTCATCATCAATCAATTTAGAGGAAATAACCGAAAATCCCATTATTCACGCTCTGATAAATGCAAAGTGGATTTTCCAACATTCGCGATCGGGGCTCATATTCGAATTTTTCTACCGGAATTGCGTAATCCGTGTGAACTGAATAAACGCTTTCGATCCTGATCCTCTATTCGCGAAGAGGAATATTAAGAAGTTGAGCATTTAATATGAAGAACTAACCTTAGTTCACGAGAGGTTGATTGATACTCCTTTCCCTCTTCGATTGCTTCACAAGCTCAATTTACGCAGTTAAGCTGTTTTTTCCTTAGAACTCAAAATCGTGATTAAGAGTCATAATAGAGTTAGAATTAGTTTCCAATTTCACAATTCAATAAAATCGTTCGTCCATCATTTTATGTAAACTTTGAGGGTGTAATAATCCCAGGAACATCTGTAAAAATTCCCAGCCGTCGAAATATCGCGAATCAATTTTTGAATGAAATAGCGTCGAGAGAAGCATTAGCACGTTCAAATTTCAGCAGTGTTAAAGAATTATTATCAATTGTGTCCTTCGGTTGAAATTCTTTTAAATCTTTTTTAAATCGCTATGTCTTCAACCCTTACAGATAATATTTTACAGCTAAATTGAAGGTGCACTAACGAGTCGTTATAAAGATTTCACAATAAAGGAATGGTAATAAAATTCAGCCATCAAAGAATTTCGCCAACTAGCTAAAGCCGCTGTAGAAAATTTATTTAGGCTTTTTCTACACTTATTTTTAGAAATATGATCTACTACAAAAAAAGCAATAAAGATGAAATATTAGAGCAATCTTTCAGTTCGTCTCGTTTACAAAAAGACTTTCCAGGCGTGTCGTTAATAAAAAGTACTTTACTGGAAAATAATACTACCCAGCCTACCTATATTACAGTTCAGGAGGCATTTTATAGAATTATCTTCCTTTACAACTTAGGTACATACCTGTAGTATGTATAATAAATTAGATAATAATGTTTCTTGAAAGAGCGCAATTTGTTAAGAAGTATTTGTGCAATATATAAGTTTATGAAGTGCATTTTTTTCTATTAAGATAAAATTTTTCCGTTCGTTTCAGTATCGGATTTCACGCAACAATTGGGCCAGATGTACGAGCACCATGCGGAGGAACTCCAAATGCTCGTCGCTAATTTCCGGAAACGAAACGGCGAACTCAGGAAGGAAAGGTGACGATGTCCATAATTTTAACTTCCATTTGCTCCCACAATAACCGCTTAGTGCACTAAGCCGCACAGTGTGCATTAGCAAAATGTTCAACTTTTTAAAAAACAACCTAATCGTGCGTGGTTAACTATTATTTTTCACCTCGTGCCATTTGAGCTAAATTTGTCGACCAGCTAGGGTCTAATGAAAACGAAAAGTTATTTGAATAGGAAGTGTTCGGTTTCGCTACATTATATTACATAACTAGTTTTACATTTAAAATGGAAACTAGATGAGAAATTTAATTAAGTACGGACTATAATACCGTTTCATCTATACAATTTTCACGTCCTCGAAAGTTTTCAACTCTTGCGGATAAATTATTCGTTTGCGCAGCGCCTAAAATTCCCTTTTCGGCTGCTTTAACTGTACAAAAGAACAGGCCAAATCGACAAAAAATTCAATTACTACGCCCTTCTTGATTATCTCGATGTTAATTATTTTGCGGGTCCTTTCAGACCGGCCTGCCCGAGTTCGCTGTTCCACACTTGGGAGACGCTTCTGCAGGAAGTCGAGATCGATTCCCAAGCGCTCGGCGACATCGCCTCGATCCTCGGCCGGCAAGTGTCTAGACCGCTGCTGGAGAGGTCCTTCCACAGGAAGATGGAGTCCAGAAAAGTGTTCACGCACAGGGAAAGCTACGAGACCATCATTGCCAAAACTGAGGAGAAATTAGCCAAGGTAACAGATATGTTCAGTACCTTTCTTGGAACGAACCCTATAGTAAATATAAAAGTCTCACCGGTAACGCCGAAAGAACGTGTGTTATCGTTACGGACCTTTTTATATCTCAAATTAGATTCGAAAATGCTTGAAAGTGCCTTCTATTTTTCTCGACAACGACCATTGAATTATTCGAAGAATATTCGAGACGCGATATGCACATGTATCTTTGTCGATAGGAGTCGGAAACAAAAAGAATAAGGAAACCCTTGTAGGAATAAAGGGACGAATCAATAACCTCCGTGACCTGAATATTTTAATTGACTACCTCTAATTGGCATTGTTTTTTATTCGGTGAGATTTGAGCTTGCTAATCGAAATTCGAATTTCATGAATTCTAAATCGAGTCCTTCTTAATTTCTTCAAGTCGACTCGAAGAAAAGAAGAAAAGTGTAACGAGAACGGCACGCAACTGGATTATTTAATTTCTCTCGGCGAACGTTTGCGTTAATAATTTAGTTACACAAAATTAGGCAATTTAATCCGTTAATTGAGCGATGCATATTTTATTTTTTAATTTTTTTTATTGCAATATTTAGTTTTCTGGATTTTCCTACATACCTACCCCAGGGTTATCAGAAGGTGTGTTTCCAATAAGAGCTTTCACACTTTCACCCAATTTACATCATTACTGTACTTAATAGAACAAAAAGATATTTTTTTAGTTTCTTGGCTGATCTCTGCTCGCCTTAAAAATTCAATCCATATACATCTTAAAGTATTATCGGATTAATTTTTCACATAATTCTACATTAAACTAAAAACACCCGAGAAAGTACGTAGACATTTTCACCGTGATTAATTTATGAATATAGCTTCGAATAATTCACCAGGCGCTGAAAGTAACTTTAAACTTGCGCGAATTCTAAACTTCACCAAGTCCGAGAACTTCCCTCACTGCTGCACTACACTTTCCTCATAAATAACAAAAAAAAATTCGTATAAAAATCCGCAGGAAACCGGTGTATAACTACTTGGAACTGTCTGCTTTTCCTCACGAAAAACGCCCAGTATTTTCATCGTCTCATCTTTTCATTTCAGTGTCGACAGGAGTACAAAAGTGCTTACGTCTCGTACTTATCAGCACCATCTACGGAGACTTTAAGTGCATATTTTAATACGCACAACGCTTACATTCAGCAACTACACGCAACGAACGGGATGATGGAGGAGTTCGGAAAACATACCCTACCGTCTTTATTACAGGTAAATAGATAATACATTAACATTGATAGTGCAACATTCTATTTCCGTCAGAGATGTTTAATTGAATTTAAATATTGAATCGACTGGAATGAAGTGTTTGATGTAGGTTTCGACTTGAACTCTAACTTAAAGTCCGATAGTTTTCCTGGCTTGGAGATCGAAGATCCCCTGCCTTTCCTCGACAACTTTCTTTATTTAATAAAATATTTTCTAGGAAGTATTCTAACACAATGTCGAACCGCATCTCGGGGAAAGTTCGTCGAGAAAAGTTATAAGGAAATATACGCGCGTTTATTCAATAAAAAATTGGATTAAATCGGAAATTTTCGGCTTAAGTAATAATCGAGCTTGCGAAGTAAGCGAGCTGATGGCTTACGAGCGTCAGCGAGTCGCAATAAAATTGCCAACTTTTCAATGCATTATGTAGAAATTCTATCCAAAACGTGATAATGAATATTAGTTATCCATTAGGGAAATTAACACCTAGGTAAATGTAAAGTGAGTTTCAGTAAATATTTTGTTACGGCCGTTTTAATAGGTCATTAAGAGAAGGTTACATTTAGGGATGATATAGCATAAATAATTGTTTGTGGTTCCAGAGATTTAAGGAAAAACTTTAGGGAAATTTATCAGATTTGTCAGAAATATGTAGGTAACTGAATATTCTTCTTGACAAAATAACTCTTCTTTCTAAAAATTATTTTTGTAGTAAAATAATAGCTTGATCTAACAATTTTTACAGAAAATTTAGTTTCTTTCTCACGTACTTCTAACTGTAGACCTAAAATTCTAGGTACCTATAGTATAAACAATGAGTAACTAAAAGTTAAAACAGTTTTAATTGACTTCAAAACAATTTTAATTAAAATTGCGGTTTTCCTCATTAAACCTCCGCATAAATTACTAAAAACTGTTAGGTCTTGGTCAGGTCTCATTTAAATTTTCAGAGTTAAGTTCTTGTAGTAAATTATTAGATGAATAATAATAATAATTAGATGAAATTTTATTAACTTACTGTAGGTATTACACACGATCATCGGTTCCTCATCTTCTCTTTGAGTTCTCTTCGCAATTCAGGTCATTTCGTCTGATGTTAACGGGACATTTCCTATTCATCAAATGCCATCTCCAGTCTTTGTCTATCCTCAATCAGCGATGTCATCGCTCCCAATAAAGTACTCATTATAGGATTTGACATCGCCGGATGTTGGGCGAGGAATTCGAGCGCTTCCATACGCAGAGGAAATCCTCTGCGTATTTACTAACGATCTACGTGAACTTATGTATTTTGAAAATTAGTGGAAAAGTTTCGTGCGAAAGTAAGAGATAATTCCAATTCCAATTCCAACGATTCCTGTGATAAATATATGAGTAATATTTTATATTCATAAATATCAAGTTAAGCTCAATTGCATTAGTAATAGATAATAGAAAAGTACTATTGTATGAAAGTTGTGTCGTAAATAAAAGCGTTTTTCCTGTACATTAGTAAATATTTTAAAAAATCAGGATTATTTCCATCTTTTTAATCCAAAAAACCTGTAGATATCAAATGGTAAAAGCCGCCTGTGATGTTTAAACACATCAAATTGATTCTTTTTCTCCCTTCGTAATAATACATTTCATCCATTTGATTCAAATCCTCGAAATACCCCATTTAGGCGTCTGAACTCATGCGTCATTCCATTCTGCCGGATTTGTTGATCTTTCCTTATTTTCCTCGATATCCAGCATCTAACGTATGTAAGTGAATAAAATCTGAGTGAATTTATTATAAGTTACAGCGAATTATGCTCAACTTGTTGAGGAACATAAGGCTTTCAGCTATAAACGAACCATTGACCTTTGATGACCTTAATGAATTTTCAACCCTTTCTCATAACCCTAAACAATTTTATGGAATATTTGGGGGTCTCATTTAAATGCCGATTAGTTTGAGAATTTAACGCGATTTTGCGTCGACTCTATGGAAAGGGGACGAAAAATTTTATATAAATGGTACAAAATACACAGTCCACAGATTTTAATCAACTGCAATGAGAGTGAAAACTTTACTTATCTTTATTTTGATTTTAATCAGAACTCTTCGAAACGTTTTTCTAACAAACCGGAAAATTTAATTACTTCATTTAGGTTTGTAATTTTCTTGTAATTTCAGAAAATCTATTCGTTGAGCCCGACTATAATTGACTAGTAGAAATTCATTGAAATATCCTAATTAATTAGGAAACTGTTTAATTTCGAGTAGGAAGCAATTATTTCATCAATTATCTTCGTCATTTTCGTTATTTTGCTGAAAAATTATCATGCGCTTTACAAGGAGTATATTTTTTACTCATTGCAGTGTTTTATTTTTATTTATTTTTTTAAACAATATTTAACCCACTGATTTCGCGTAGATGTTATTAAAGCTGCAGTCGCGAATAATCTATTTAAACGCGAAATCATATTCCTCGTCCATTAAAGGATTTTCGTTCCCGAGGGCTAAACTTACGTGCCCACATATGACCCTTTTCCTGAAAAGCTGCAGCGCTGTTAATTAGCGCAGTCACTTCGCAGCTCCTGTGGTTTTTGTGGCCGGCATCCGGGCTGTGAAACTGACGTCGCCTGTCCTAAGGTTCTCTGCTTTTATAAAATTACATCACTCATGTATCGACTATGTAATAAAATAATGCTCCAGATACGCTCCAGATTCGCATTCATCTAAAACTGGACAAATATTTAAGTCTATACATATTTCATCTTTCATTGCAGGAATTAGAAGAAATATATATTGATTTGTGTTCAACATTGACTGATGCGGTACTACAGGGTGCTGAAGTAGTTTCTAATAGAGTAAGTATACACATTATTTTAATGTCTAAAGTATAAAAATAAAATTCAACAATAAGTCTCAATTACAAATAAACGTAGGTATAATAAATCTAATTAACAAATAAAATGAACAAATTACAGAATTCGATTCAAATGTTTTTCCTTTTCAACAATTGTTGTATCTCTTCTAGTGTTTTTCCGTTCGTTTCTGGTATAATATAAAGTGACATAAATGCCGAGATAATTGAGCAAGCGGCGTATATGTAAAGGGCAAAATTTAACCCTAAATTCGCCACTAAATAGTAAAACGTGGAATTAATAAAGAGGTTAGTGATTGCCGTTATAATCAAAAGCACTAAAATAGCTTTGGCTTTGATACTAGCAGAGAAGAGCTCGCTCATCATCAGAGTGGGCATAACGGATAATCCAAAAGAAGCGAAAACAAGGAACAGTACCAAACTTGCTGGTGGTACCCATCCAAACAACGACAAGTCTATATCTGTATTTTCGACCAAGTAAAAATACGTACCCAACAGGAACATAACAATGCCGGCATGGGAAGACGATATTACGAACAATTTTTTCCTACTAAACCGGTGAACTATAAACACCAACACCAACAAATTCAAACCGAAATTAGCCGCCATTAAAATAATCGACAACAATCCGTGATCGATCTCAGAGCCGGATATCTGGAAGATCGATTGGGTAAACATAAATACAATCATGAGCCCTGACGATATCTGGGATACCCTTAGGAACACTCCCGCTATCAATGCCCTTCTATTACTATCGATTGTGAAGAGATCTCGGAAAGTCCCTGATTCAGACAGTTGCCTCTCCACGTCCATTTTGAGAATGAAATAGTCGTTGTCCACGTCGGTTTTGCGTGTGAAGAACCTCAACGCCTGCTTTGCTTCGTCTTCGTATCCTTTCATTACCAAATAGTAGGGAGATTCCGGCATGGCGTTGAAGAGCAACAGGAATAATAACGGTAACGGTATACAAACGTACGACGTCCAGCTGACGTTTAAATAGCTACCTAATATATTCACGAGAAGTCCACCCAAGTAAATTGAAGAAGCCACCGCGTTGCCCCACCTGCCTCTGACCTCGGGATTGGCGATTTCCCCGATGTAAATGGGAAACACGGCGTAGTAACAGGAGCTGGCCAGACCAAAGCATATCCTGGACGTGTAGAACAAGTAGATGTCGCTGGCGAAGGCGGCGAAAAGATAGGCTAGCAGGTGCAGGAGCGCTGTGAAAAAGTACGTTCTCTTTCGCCCGATTTTATCCGCTAGAAAAGCGAAAACTGGGCATCCGATTATGAATCCGATCCAGGGAATTGTGGTGAAGTACGAGGCTTCCTCTGTGCTGATATCGTAGTTTTCTTTATCTTGCGTAATTTGGACTATGAACGGCGATGACCATGATAAGAAAATGCCGTCGGAGAGTCCGCACAGCGAGCCTGCGAGTATTAAATAAACCATAATTGTCTAACTATATGAAATTAAAATTTTTGTCTTTTGATGTTTTGTTGATAAAGCAATAACTCAGGTGTAAAAAATCACAAATTAGTAAAACAAATACCCTATAATTAATTATAAATACTAGAATATTGCCATGCGTTTGATTTAAAATTAATTAATGCATTAATTTTCGAAGTATGTAACGTTACCAATTAAAATGGCAAATATTTGCGGCCATGTTTTCCCAACATCATCTGTGTTAATATGCGATTTAATGATTTTTGCGGCCATATGTGCGATTAAAACGATTAACACTATGTACACTAGACTAGACTATCCTAATCATTGTCAATTCTGAATATATACAATTTGACGAATCCTGTTTAAAATTCAATAGGTCTCAATTAAGCAAATATTCCTATGAATATGGTTATTTTAAAATATAACAATTAGAAACAATATTGGTAAACGAAAGTAATGCTTTGGAAAACAGGATAATTAGGTAGTAGGTATAACAATAATAAATAAAATTTAATGTTGTTATGGAATAAGTTGCCTTATTTTATCCACTATTCGACACAAGTTTATTCCTTTTGGCATCTAAATTACAAAATAACAAGGTATAAAATCAGGAATATAAAGTGACCCATTACAAAATTTGCGACATTCTGTAACCTAATTAATTATTTCTAATAAATTTCAACCTTGAAATAATAATGTTTTAAAAATAATGTAATTTGAATTTATGCAGAAGTTTCCTACACATATACTTACTCTTTATCAACAAATTCAAGTTAGTATTTCAATTAAATTTTCAACATGGGCAACATGGTCATCACCCATAGGTTGAACAAAGAAATATTACTAAAATGACAGTTGTCAGGGTGAAAAGTCTGCTATGACACAATATCACTCTTTCTTTAATTATACACGTGTCAAGATATACATGTATTAATATACATGTATTAATAAGACACCTTATTTTGTAAAATAACATAAATAATTTATAAAAAAATAAAACATACCTGCGAAAACCGCATGTATTTATGATTAGGTAAGCGTTTAAACGTTACAAGCTGATTAAATGGGATACTTTTCATTGGGACGTCCTGTATTGTTTCTTATCGAATTAACAGCCAGTGTATATACACACGCTCAAAAATATTTAGCATAAATAAATAAATATGTAATATAACGAAATATTTATAAAATTACAAATCAAAATTAGTTTCTTTATTTTGTATTGGAATAAAATAAGAATTATAAAAAATAATAAATAAATAAACAAATAACAAATGGCCAGTGGCATTTCAACTAATATGCAAAAGATTTTTGATCCCAAGCGCATATGGAGCGCGCGTGCTCGAAATGGGATACAATAATAGCGTACCTATAACTTTTCTTTGGTACCTGTATATTAATAACAAATTTGTTAACCTTTATGTATATTTAATATATTTTTTAAATGTTTTTATTTAACTGCTAGTGAAAAATAATTTATAATGTCTGCCAAAGTGATAAAAGTCAACTAGAAAATCGTCATACACCTGATAAGATTAAAATTAAAATAATTATGACCAAATATAATATTGTAATTTAAGTTAAAAACGTATTTCCATAATGCACATCAGTGTTTTTTCGAATTAACGAAATAAATGTTTTTCGAAAACTGTAAATTTTAGATTTTCCCTAAGTTTACCCATTTTTATTTTATTAAAATGGGCCTGTAAACAAATAAGCAATCTCACAATATCTTTCGCAGTCCATGGAACAATGCAGACGATACGAAAGCCTCGTGTCCCAATGCAGATCCGTCTCCGGAACGTCCGATTTATGCCACCTGGCCAGATCCTTGCCGGTTCCTGCGGGTCGGGCGCCCATTATAAGGAGGATATTCGTACCGCCTCAACCGCCACCGCCTGCGGATGTCGCCGATGGTGACATAGCTGATTTACAACCGAATGTACGTAGAACCTTGACAATTTTCGCACAACTTGATAATTTCTATAACAAATATTTTCTTATTACCATTCGCATCAGGAGAACATCCCGCCGCCGCTTCGAGACGAATTGGTAGTGGACAAACTATCGGCGGTGCAATTGAAGCCCAGTCACGACGTCCTGCAACGGGAAGCCCAGGATTTGGAGATCCAAATTCGCCAAATACAGGACGCCATCGAGACGCTGCTCAGGATCCAGCAGAAATCCGTCGAGGCCTCGCTTTACAACAAAACCAACGAGCTGCAAGAGGACATTTCCATGAAGAGATTCGATTTATCAGTGGCACAGCTTCATCTTAGCGCCATTAATGCGCAGGTTAGTCAAGAAATATAATATACTTTTGTCCAAATATAGTATGGTTCTAAATTGTTCAGTACCTATATTGAATTTGTTAGAAAAATCTGAAATAGGTATAGCATTCGTAAGGAAATCCGTTTCTCTGAAAATTTGAACGTTTCAGTTATCCCCTATAAATTTCGTTCGACTTGCGCCGGAGTAGGTCGTGAAAATATCCTGCGAAACGAGCGCGCAAGACTGAGAGCGCAACCTGGATTATCGATAAATTGTTGCCCTAGCTCCCGTGCGAGTCCTGGCGAAAGGGAAACGTGCTCGCCGCTTTTTTTATTCGGTACAAGTTGAATTTTATTCTTCAAACACATTTACGCGTATCGAGATAACTGTGCTGTGATAGTATCTGCCCCGTATTGTGATAATATCCGTCGTGTGATAAAAGTATCTGCTGTGTAATCTAACAATATATTCGTTTAGGGTCTGTAAATACTCATTCGGCTAAGGGTTTTTTTTTGGGATTTCGAAAGTTTTTGGCGAAAATGGGCTGGATGTCGCTGAAAACTCACTTGGTAAGGGCTTTTTAAAGTCAATTTCAAGCGTTTTTATACCCATTTTCATCAATTTTTGTTAAAGATAGGAACAAAGACGTTATATTTTTTTTGGTTATAGTGAGAGAAGTAAATTCTTCAACGTTGGTTAGTACCTTCTCAGGTCTATAATAATATCAAATATTACTACTATCAACCAATAAAATGAAAATCTAAGATAAATGCTGTAAAAGATCATTCAAAATGTCAAAATTATGAAAACTTTTGTACTTGGAACTTAACATATTTGGCAGATTTGGTACATTTGCCTATTTGGTACAGTTTTGCTTATTTTTTTTATTGTTCTCTTTCATCTACTTTCTTTCGCGAGTCCTTTTGTGTATTTAAGGCTCCTGAATAAAACATCATGAATTAATGATATATACTTGTACATATAGGTCCGTATTCAGCGCCTCACTTTAACGTTAGCGTGGCTCTAAAGTCGCGTCTCTAGTCCCTAGTTACTCCATAACAACAATGTACAACTGTCAAGAAAGACGCGACTTTAGAGTCACTCTAATGTTAAAGTGAGGCGCTGAATACGGGCCATTGTATCTACTTAGCAATGAAAGAACGTGAACACCGACCCTAAAATAAATCTACAAGAAAAATATCAATAATATATTACAAAAGACACATTTACAATTCTAAGAAAATTACTTATTGAATGAAAATTTATAATTATGAAGTTATTATATCTAATGCAATATAGATACGACATAATATTTGTATGTAAAGTAAAAAAGAATCAATTTTCTGATCAGGTAATTTTGTTGCCCTCAATTATACTCACCATATATAGGTAACCTATTATTACTGGAGCTTTGGAGTTAAAACAGAGCTACGCCTCCAGTAAAAGCACAGCTTTTGTGTGCGTATTTTTTGTTAATGTTTAAAATTTTGTAATTGGAGCTTTTCACCCTAAATCGAATATTCCCGTCCAGTCAATATTGATTCAGTGAAATTCGTCGCCTGGTTGTATTTGTTTTTGTTACCGTTACGAAATATTTGCTTATATCCAGTATTTTTCACCCCATCGTCAAACAATCATTACAGTCGTGTCATTAAAAATAATATAACAATATTTATATTCCAACTGGAACGAGTTTATGTACTAAAAATTAATCATTATTGTGAATGGTTGAAATCTCCCAATCAACGTTAATTGGAAACCTTATACTTTAGAAATACACATTGAAGCTTTATAGTTTGCTATCTGTTAGACTAATCTACCGAGTCCCAGGATCAATGGGATAACTATTAAAGCCTCGCTGAAATTGAACCAGACCCCTAACAATCCTTCTCATAGAATGAACCCCACTTGGAGATTTCCAAAAGCGTTTACTGGAAAATTCCTGCAACTATCTACTTTTTATTCCAACTCGAATGAGCATATTTTATTTGGGCTTTAGTTGAAAATATAATGTTACAAACAGACTCGCTTTCACCCATTGATCGCTAACGTTTGAATTATTCAAAAAGCTTAAAAGCTGCCATTTCGTACACCAGATTCAATTTTCCGCCGCAATTTGACTGCTTTTCGATCGATTTTTTGTTTGAATCTCATCACTGTCTACATACCAAAGTAAAAAGTTAACTGGAAAGACTCGAATGCGAATTGCGAACCTAAGAAAAGCTAACCGATTCCTAACAATATTTTCTTTTTATTTACAGAAAGAACTTTTTTCGAATAAGCTCGAGGGCGATTCGGTTAGTCGCGAACGAAAAATGTCCTCTGCATCGACGGCTAGCATGAAAAATAAGTGGTTGAAGGCTTTCAAAAGCCTGAAAACACCGCCACCTGAAGTTGAAAAGTAAGTAGTTTTTCACTTTCATTTTTGATTATCCATTTTACTTTTTGGAATTTTTTAACTTTTGTTACAAGTACCTAAGAGGATATTAAAAATGTTTCTCGATTTTAAATATACAAATACAGCTATTGCTAATGGATTAAATTGCATTGAATCACAATTAGTGCATGGCACTAATTTTATTATTGATTGAATATTGTTCTCACAACTTTATAAACCATTAATAATGGAATAAGCCAGACTTTAACCAGCTGAATTCACGTTCAGTCGTAACTTGAAGAAGCATTTCTAATATCCCTTCTGTTCGTAGTAATTCTTTAACCTAATTTGTAATTTGTCGTTGTTAATGTTTTCAAATTCAGAAAAAACCAAATGTACCATGCTGTCTCGACGATAATGTCAATGAGGTAAAATACATTCAATGATCATAAAATATCCGAGCACATTCCCTCTCTAATCTCTCAACTATCCGTAGACTCTTTTTGGTGTTTCATTTTCCCTAAAGTGCACGACGACACTTTTGAATTTGCAAAAATCATGTCACTGTCGCTTGGCAATGAAATTTGTGAAATTGCAGCAAGTGAGCGTATGCACTTTAAAATACAACTGGAATACATTATACATGTAGAATCACATCAGATTGATGTGTCTACGTTGTGTATTTAAAAAGGAAAAATTAACTTTTTTCGCTTCAAGATTATTTGTAAAAGCGATGATGGTTTCCAAGTTGTATTTAATCAGATAATTATCTCATTAAAAAACAATTCACCACACGCTTTAGTTTAAATGATTACATTATTTAGTTTCAAGTTGAATTCAGTAACATCAAGTTAATTCACAATGTAAGAGCTCGGATGTAGTAAAGTTTTGAGCCTAATATAGCTTGATACATTCATATTAAATCAGTTTATAAATCCGAGCCGACGTTCTATAGAATAATAAAATGAGCCGAGAAAGCTTGATAACTTCACTACACACTCACTTGAAGTAATTAATTCTTATTAATCAAGCCTAACTGAGTTCAAGAAAAGGATCCAGACTCGACGAAATAAACATTTTACTTATATGTAGACTTATTGTACGCGAGGGGCTACTTACCTCGAGTCCTTTAGAGCCATTTAGAAACTTTTTGATTAATTTAAGAGCCTCAATAAAATGCCGTCTGAATGCCTAAATAATCTAGGTATAAAAAATATACTTTGGAGCAACATTTGTTAGATAAAACGACTCTCCAACCATCTCATTTTATTTCAGTTAAATCCTGGCAGGATTCTGGCTGGATTCTGGCTTAAAAAGTAGAATTCCCCGGTCAGGTCTGAAACGGATGGGAATTGATTTTGTGATGGGATGTGTATTTGACGGGACGTCCAATCACTGTGATGGAGTTTTTTAATACATATATGTTTGGAATTGCTCCGTCCAGTTTATTTTATTTGTTATTTGTAGAAACTACACAAAATTACACAATTGTAATGTTTTTTTGTGCGAATAAATTATTGTTGGTATTTTAAAAATAGTAGCGGAATTCCGGAATCCCAACGTACTAAGAAAAAATTACATTTTTCTATTGCGTCCATTCACTTTGTATGTTTTGTGTCGGGTGAGTGTAAAATCGTACACAATGGAACCGTAAGAATTCACGTACCGGAAAAATGGGGAAATAGCAGGAATTTAAGGCGACACATCCAGACACAACCATTCGAATAACTAGATATACCGGATGATACTCGTCCCTATTGTTATACATCACACAGTTGAAGACTACAAAGAAACTTCTGAGTGTGTAGTATAGATATCAGGAAAGCAAAGCATCTCGAGGTCTCAGAAATAATCGTCTTTTGTACTATGAAAAATCCTTTCAAAAGAAACATGGGTCTGCAAGTGCGGCTTATCTCCTCGAAAAGAAATACTTTTGCGATTAGAATACCTATGCAACTTAGATTATTCGTGGTTCTATCAAATTTATTACATTCCCAATGTATCTACTATCTGAAATTTCACAACCAAGTTCTAATATCTACGATTAACTTGATTGTTTTATTTGAACCAACACAAATTAGTTCAAAATTTTGTTTATTACGTGACATCGTTATCAAACCAATATAACACAACCAATATTGGTAATTTAAATAAATGTACACTTCTGCTATATGTGAACTATCCTGTGCACCACCGTCAATGTCCAAGAGTACGTATTGCTTGAACTGCTTATTTATTATATGTATCTAGTCCTATTTCCTTGCCTTATCTAATAGTTTTTAGGCTTAAGGGAGTCTTTTATCTTTCCAATAAAGTATCGTTAGAATTTGGCTTGGTATCAATAACAATAATTATTTTACCTTTGGCTAAACGAAAAGTATTGGAAAATAAAAGATTAACCTGACAGTAGTTTAAGAATTAAAATGGTAATTAAAATAACTAGAGAGAAACCATGTTATTGTCAGTACAGTGAGCTAAAGAAATACTTGGTAATAAACCTGTCAATAAAAAAAACAAACCATCATTTAAAGAATTTCCTCCAATTTCAAAATTTCATTCAATTCAAGTAATTATTCTACGGATTTTTTAGGTAGGTGTAAAACTGTTTTCAAAGTAACGTCTCTCTAGTTTTTAGACAAATTTTAATGGACATAAAGTCTATTTTTTATTGAAAACAATGCTTCAAAGTCGTATACCAATGATTGGAAATACATATTTCACAAAACCTTCTCCAGGACGCTTTATACCTAATATTATATGAATCATTTATCCAGCTAAAAACATAATTACGTGCTTTTGCCAACTTGATGAAATTATAGTGGTTTATATAAAAAATAGCCTTTACCTGCATTTTAATAAGCGCTTGTTCTGGTTTATTACTATGAAATTATTTTTGCTTAGGAAAAATGGAGCTGCCGCTACGAAGGAATTGCTGAAAGGAGATCCGGATGCGCACAATTTCCAGGAGTACACTTACAAGAAGATAACTCCTTGCGATATTTGCTCGCAGGTGTTACGAGGTAAGATTTAAATTAATTAGGAGTAGCGTTAACACAATTACAAACATGAGTTTAGAACTTTTTACATAGATTAATTCGATATCATAAATTATGGGACTCAATTTGTAAACAAAGTACAGCTACCTACGGCTACCTGAGTTCGTTAATAATGAAAAGTAGGAGTAAAAAAGGAAAAGCATGATTAAACATTAATTAGTTCGGTTATCCGCTAAATGAGTAAAGTTTCTGAATGTTTTTCACTTAGCTAGATAAAGTTGGGGCAAAGCGTGACAAGAGAAAAGTTAAAGCGATAAAATCTGTAGAGGAACTTTTTTTCCTATCGAGCGAATATTTCAAAAACTTGTAGACGACGGAAAATAATGCACCGAAGTAATTATTGGGTATAAAATACCTTTTTCTAAGGGTGAATATGTTTTAAAATTCATCATTTAGACTCTCACAATTTTATAAGTGTACAATAGTGATTTAAGGGGGTTTTCCAAAATAATAATTAAACGTGCTGTTGTTATTTTCCAACATGTTTCCATCAAATTCTATTATGTATTTAATGTAGGTCACACGCGTCAAGGTTTGAAATGCCGGATATGTAAAATGAACGTGCACGTGGATTGCCAGGAAAAAGCGTCGAAATGCCAGACTAAGGCGAGGCTTTTAAGAAGGCAAAAATCCACTTCCGAAATCGAAACAAGAGTACCAGAATTTAACCCCGATGAAGAAAGTAAGTACCTACAACTAAACACATGTTTTATTTATCAATTAGATAATCAAAAGACAAAAAATATTTGCATAAAACAGTGAATTATGCACCAAATAGTTGTCATATAATTGGTCAACGCATTGTTTGTTTTTGAAGATTTCTTCACATATTCAATATCGCTTTTTGAGTGCAAATAAAACCCGGTGAAAAGGTCCCAACATTTGTTGGAATTGCTTTTCTGCAAATGTAGAGAAGCATCAGTTGGAACAAACAATCACTAAAATATTCCTGATCACGGTCGAATCGATTAGGTCCTACATTTACCAGACGGAGATTGAATTAGGACGATTTGGTGCAAAAACACGTTCCAATGTTTTACTAACAATAAGACAATTGGAATAAATATCTCTTTTAGAACGAATGTAAAATCATCTACTATTGATTTTTTTTATTTCATAAAAGACGATCTTAAAGTACTGTTCTTAAAGTGTGAAAAATTTTACAGCTGTATATTCGCTTGAATTTTATTTTTTTTGTGTCAAACTTTTATCTCCAGGGATTGCCGAGGTGTTTTCAATGGCGACCATAAATAGGCGCTTATCCGTGAAGACTACACATCACAATCAAGTGAACAATTCCGTGTTCTTAGGTATTATGAATGATATGTTGTTGCTAACAGGATCATCTTAACTTTTGACTTCCATTCATCTTTGTTGAATTTAATCAAACTGTTTATTCTCTTTTATATTGATTTTTGTTACATATGTAGGTAATTTAAAGAAAAACATGATTCACATCGCTTTTGTAAAGCTTCACAATTCGATTAATTGCTTACCGCCTTGTTAGAAACAGTTAGGTATTACCGACGAAAAAAATCCACAAAACTTGGTCCAATATTTTAAAATTTCCCTCAATTTTTACGACTCACCCATATCCTTCTGTACAAATAATCGAAGCTATGTATCCTTGGTAGATTTGCTTGATACGTAATTACAATGCACGTCAAGTAAAAACCAATCGTACAAATAATATTTCCCCAGAACCGACCGAAGTCGACCAAATCTACCAAGTCCTCAAACAAGCCACCGAAATATCCAACGCCAAACCTCGCGTAAACGTGGAAATCATCGCGCCGCCGGTCGATAAATCCGCGCCCGGATCGAATCCGGGAAGCTCCGGTAGCTCGGGACAGAGCCTCAATCGTAGGGCTGCGCCTCTGCAGCCTTCCAGGCCTGGCGGGTCGACGTTGAACGTCGTCAATTCCGCCCCCTCAACAACCAGCTCAGGTTTGTGGACTTAGCACCAAGTGGGGCTAGCGGAGATGTCGATGGGATAATTGCACACACGCCTTTTTATTTTATGTTAGGTCTTAATTCTAATCCATTCGAAACATAATAGCTAGTCGAAATATAGAGTATTCCAAATAATCGGTCTATTAAAGCCCTCGTTTTGAATTCAGTTCAAAATCAGTTCAAAAGGGCAGGATAACTCTTTAAAATACAGACATAAAAGGACAAACAAGATCTTTGAAAATTTCTTAGCAAAGCTGGAGGGATCTGGAGAGGCTGGAAAAGTACATATGAAGATACTTGGAAGCTGGAACGACATATTAAGAAATCTAAAGAAAATTTGAATAGCTGGAATATTGTTAAGCAATTTAATCGGAATATTCGATGGTTTACTGTTTTGTTTGAAATACTCTATTACAAATTGGAAATTATTTGCGGAATTTATTCATTCCCTTTGTAATGTACGCGCTAGTATACTTCTATTCTATGTATAATTCTATTAAAATCATAAAAAGTCACGTAGCAATTAATAATTGACCGTTAAAGTTGTTCTGCTCGGTGTTATAAAGCTTGCATTTCGGAACTAATATTTTTAAATTTGTATTATACCAAAAGTTAGTGAAAATTGTGTATGTAAACATTATTATCGTCTGTTTTTTTATGTAGAACATACTTCTTGGCACTCTTGAACCGAAGAAAAATTAATAGAATTTAACATTAATCTGTAGAAATTATTAATAAATTTCATAATAATCAATCCCGGTTAGAAATGTGTACCAAAACCTCATCATCATGATTTGCATTACTATAGCCTTAAGAGAACTAATAATCCCATCTAATGAACCGTACACCTCTAATAAACCATTTTACATACCTAAGTCTGTCAGAATATCACCTCAAATTAGGAATCGTAGGATGCCTGGCATTCCCTTCGTTTTCTACCTGTAACTTTGCAAGAAAATGAGAAAATCGATAACCAACTACATTTTCTTGCGCACAATTTTCACTAACTACCACCTAAAAATCTTAAAGTTACGAGCTAACTTGTTCTTATTGGATTATGCATGATCTTTCTGTTCAACCACTCCACTTACGTTCCCTTCTCCATCAAATCCGAAAACCCTTTTTCTTCCTCTCTGGTTCCCGAAAAGAGGCGGCGCTGGTTTGCTCTTTGGAATTGGAGTAAGGTCGATAAAACAGTTATATACAAAAGATCGAGGGCCTGCTAAGAGATTACACAACATAAGTGAATTTTAGATGATTATCCACCCATACGAAAATCAATTTTTAGTTACAAATCGATTTAAAAGCTTTTTCTAGGTGAACATTTAATTAAAAATATATTTGTAAAGAACTCGTCATAACCCATCGAAGATAAGCCGTCTCAAATGTTCTAAACATTCCTGCATTGGGTTAAAATTTGGGTACCGACCGGCAGAAATAGCTGAGGCTTGTTACTAAATTAGTTGTTTGCAAGCATATCGTTGCGCTTAGTATTTCTGTCGAACTCTAGGTATATGTTTTTCCCAAAAATTTTATCAATTTGGTAAGTATCGGTTGTGATATTTGTTATATTATGTGTAATGACAGTTCGAGACCTGCTTATGTATGACCAATTACTTCATATACTTATATAGGTATAGAAATTCTCCAATCAATTAATAGTTTCTAATGGAATTTAAATTTTAACCACCCTTATATTTAATTCCTGAATATCATACATCTCTTACAAATGTCCTTAATTGAATTTTTATTACTTCCTGAATCGTTTCTAAATAGATTTTACGGAGATTTCTCAAGAGATTTTAATATTGCTTCTGCATCCATTTCATAGCTTTTACTTACTAATATGTCATTTTAAAGATTGTTGCTTTTCGTATGAAAGTTTATGCAAGCCTAAGTAAAATTTATACGTTCAATTGACGTATTTCAAATGATACAAATTTTATTTAAGTTTGCATTTTTTTAATTCTTTGACACAATAATTATAATCTATCTATCTTTCTAACGAAACAAAGCATAGCATGCTCTCTATATTTAACTTCAATTTGTTTAACACACTCATTTGTTATTAAACATTCTTTTCAAACTATACTAGGTACACTCATGTACCTAACCGAGCCAATTGTTAATTTATCAACGTCCGCCATACTACAAAATGCGATATTTTCTCAGTTATATGCTATTCGAAATGCTCTTTTTCTTCCACCCCGGTACTCCACTATTATTTTTATTTCACGACTCGCCTTGCTCCTAAGGGGCACGACCTCTTAGCCTCTAGCGCAAGGCGAGCGAAAATTGGCAATTGGCGCGTTTACGTTACACCTGAGTATTCTTTTAAAAACAACTTTCATCCAAACGTCCATCAAAATGACGAGTGAAATCTCGAGTTAAAACAAGGGTAAAATTTGAAACTGATTCCATTGACCTCTGCATGCAGACTACAAGCATGGCGCGCCGATGATGAACAACAACATGACGGCGGCAGAGTCGACTTCGATGAGAAGAAGACTTTTCGCCGGAATGAAAAGCCTGACTGGTTTCGGTTCGAGGTCGAGCAGGCGCGGATCACCTGGCCATCGTTCCATCTCTCTGCCAGAAAGTATGCAACAGCGCTTTCTAATAACTTTTGTTGGATATCTGGTTGTCCTCTAAATGTATTTTATGTTGTTGTTCTATGTCCGTCCCTTATTTCTGGAATTGATTCTCTGTGTGGTTGTGGTGTTCCCCGACACACTTGATCCTTTGATCACATATCGAGACTAGTACTTGTAGACATTAAATCAATATTCATGTTTCAATATTCATGTTTCGTAATTAAGCAAATGCTCGATATGAGATGAATTAGTTAAGTATGTTTTTTTTTTGTTTTATTTTTACATCGTATGTCAGCAGAAACTATTAAAAACAAAACTACATATTTATATTATGCTGTTAAAAATTACGACTGCTTTTCTACTGGCACACTCTAATAAAGCATTACCATCATTATTTGGAGCAAGATGGATTTAAGGTGCATTAACAGTAAGGAGGTCTAGACGATTCGATACGACTTGAAGATACCGTTTCCACAAATAAACCAACATTGTAGCTATAAATTTTACTCGACGAGAAATTACGGTATAAAACGTCCATTAAATGAATGTACCTATACATACAGAGACGTACAGGAGATGTTTCAATAATCTATTAAATCCATTACCTACGCGCCCTAAGTTGATGTTATGCGGCTAAGTGATATGTTCCTATCGAGAGTAAGTGAGTAGATAATAATGTAGAGTTTGCACCTAAGCGAGTTTGTAATTTGCAGTAAAAGCGTTCGATAATCACTAAGATTGCGAAATGTATAAATCTCGCAACTTCTCTTTTTATTCCTTCCAAAATTGGGACATTCTTTAGACACTAGTCTAAGTAAACAAGTCGAGCGGATAAAATTCTATAAATTTAGATAATTTGCATCGATATGCGCCTCGTCGCGTTGTTTGTAGGGCCTTATCTTCATTTGGCATTTAAAGCAAATCTTTAATAATTTTCTGCTGGCACAGCTTCAGATATATTTCTCTTTCATAAATCATCTTACTACTGGCGTCGCGTGGTTATCATACAATCATAATCCAACATCCGATTAATAGGATTATGCGATTTCCATTAAACTTTTCCGGCGAAATGCGTTTACACAATCAATTATACGGCACTTTCATTCTTACTTTCCTTCGTAGCCGGAGTGTTTTCGATTCTGCTAATCGACGTTACGATTCGGAATGCTTCGGGGCCGCGTAAAATTTTATGGACTGAATTACAACTCGATTTTATTTTCTGTAAAAACGGCTGTAAAAGGTAATTTTATGGAAGCGTCCGTTTCGCGGTTATTTTTCGCATAAAATATTTAATACAGTGACGTTGAAAGGTTTTTAGCCCAGACGGAAAATGATTAAAATGCATGGATGGAAAGGCTGTAATCAAATTTGATTAGAGGCCTTTTAATGAAAAAATAATGATGGTAATGAGCAATTAGAAATGGAAATATGCGCATTTTCTACTTCATTGGTTGTTGTAAAATGATGGTTTGATCAATAGACATTTAAATCGCTTCATTGATTTATTTTAGTCTAGATTCGAAATAATTAATTTGAATATAATAAAAAATGTAAAACGCTGCTTTACACATGTTGTTCTGTGGTAAATGTCTAAAATTCAAACTAAATTTTTATCAGAATAAAAGTTGTCAAACCTCTCTCTGCATTTTCGCTTCTCCAATTTTTAGAATTTCTACCGTAAAATGCTGTAATGATAAAAAGTGCTTTTTCGCTTTCGCTTGACGAACCTCTGCATTTCCGCATTTCCCGGCATCAACCGAGGAAACTTCTTATTTTCTTCTCTACATTCTACAACTTTTCCATTTTCACCTATTAGCTGTCGATCATTTCCAGGCAATCATCGCATTTGCTCTCTGAAACATTGCGGGTTCTGGAAATTGTCTCGTCAAATGATCGTTCAATAAGATTTTCTAGTGGATTTGATGAAGATTATTTTTAGAAAGAAAATTCGTAACTACGAGCATTATTAACAAATGCTCTGAGAAGCATAAAATATCAGTAAAGCTTCCAACAATAGCAGAATTTCTTGCAATCCCAAGAATGCGGTTTTTAGATTTTGTATTAAAAGGACTTGGGGTGCTTTGTACTTTGCATTTTAACTCAATAATTTTCTTACCGTGGGTTTTGGTCTCTTTGAAGGTTGCCTTTGAAATAAGTTTTAAGTACCTATTAAAACTAATGGAGTGCATAAGTACGTACAGGGTGATTATACTATACTATAAATTATACTAACATTTTATTCTACGATGAGCTTACTCACCCTGTATACTTTACAAAGTACCAAAAAGCCTAAACGGTAAAATTCTAGAATCTAAAAAGGCTCAAAATATACGTATGAATATTTGCTGATAATTTATAAGGCGGAAAACATTTGCGAATTTTCTTTTCTTTGATCAATTCGACTCATCAAAGACTCGACTGAAAATCTTGTACATAACGAATTCGTTCTGCGTTCGTATTTTTTTTATTTTTTCCGTTTGATAAAAGTGCAATTAGTTTTGAAGTAGATAGTGATTTTGTTTTACTCGAGCGCTCGTTTCTGCTGGTTGAAATAGAATTAAAGCTTCTAAACAACTTTATTGCGCATTTTGTTGCAATTTAAATAATTATACATATTTTTATAAAGTCTAGCAGTCTATTAGATTTCGTAAAATTCTACGCCAATTATGGACTCTTAATTTTTTTATTCGAGTATAACACAATGATAGACTAAATAATATGAATATAAAGGGAAATGTTAAGAGGAATAAGTAGATTTAGTTTCTTTTCTCTAGCGGACACTACTCCCACACTATTCAAACTTTGCTGATTTTGTTTACCTTCGTCAAAGGTATAGGTACATTTGCGTTGATCACGTGTCGAGCCTTTTCTTGTCGAAAAGAAAACTCCAAGAAAATCTCGCCTCTTTGATACGAAATAGAACAGGAAATTGAATTTGTGTCAGATATCCAACGTATTCGAGTTCTTACTTATTCGAGCTAAATATTCGGAAAGCGCCTTTAAAGTAATCCTGCATATTAAAAATTAATAAAACAAAGCTTGAAAATTATTTATTGTATTTAAAATGTTGGTATTTGACAAAACATCGACGTTACAATAACTTCTGGATTCTTTGGGATTTATCCAATTTTCTCTTTTCCAGATTTCCTTCATAGGATCTAACCTACCGGAAAAATCCGATAACGATATTTACAAGAGTTTTCAACTCGCTTAATACACACGCTTTTTGGGGAAGAAAAGTTGTTCACAATTTTCGAAGTACCTATCAAACATTTTCAAAATTCCTTTATTTCCAATTTGAACTCAGACTCACAACTAAAACTAAAATACTAATATTTAATATTTAATTCCCCTTTTTTCATTACTTTAGATATTCTGTTTATTAATTTTAAAATTTTAAATATTTATAATTGGCGTTTAACCAAACGTTGATTGGCTCAAAAACTTTTGTGCTCAGGGCATAATTTTAAAGAAGCATGCATTGTTTGGCGTGTACATTGTTTTCCGAATAATATAACATAGGTATATGCCAGGTTGAAATGTAGGTTAATGAGAAAAGGGAAAGCAGAGGAGATGGAGCGATGAGAGTAAAACAAAAGAAAACGCGCAGAAAAACGGGATTTTCTTTCCAAAAACGAGGATTTTCCTTATCCGAGTCTCATGGATTTTTAACTTCGACTCATTAATTTCATTGTCGTGTTTTCCGTTCAACTATATATAGAGTGTTTCAGAAAAAACTTGGCAGTATTTCCGGGGTTGATGGATTATCGAAAAAGAAAAATGGTTTCTTCGGTATAAAAGAGTTTTATATTCAAAGAAATATTGAATTCCTCGTAGTTATAATGCCTGGTTTTTGTGAATAACTCTGTATAATTGAATCTTCGATCACGAAGCAAATTGGTTTTCACGTTAAATCGACGAGACGAGTCGATGACTTTTTTACAGATTTTTTTCTTCTCATTAACGCGTTCAACACGAAGTCGATTGAAATTGCATTATCGCTTGAATTTTCAGAGAGAAACTCGCAAGATGGGTCTGGAAATCGTCCGTTTGGACAACCCCTGTTTTTAGGCGCCCGAGAGGAGAACTGCCCCGATATACCCTCTACCCCTTCGAGCCCGAGTCCCCCCAAAGGGGGAACGTCACCCGTCCCGAAACCCCGATCGAAAAACAAAAAATAACCCTTCGGTAACGGTGTAATTTTGGCGAATTCAAAAAATGTGTTTATGAATATTCATCATTTTAAACTTGTTATTTTGGCAATTTCACTGTGATAAACAATAAAAAGGTATCTAATGAACGATGTGGGTTAATTAAAATAATTGGTAGATGTTTATGTAAGTTCGTTTTGTTTGAATTTCGAGCTGATTTTTTGCTTAATTATCTAACAATATTATCCATATACTAATATTCCAAAAAAATACATAATAAATATAGCTAAGGTAAGTAATTCGATTAAAATATTACAACCGATCAAATTGGTACAATTTAAAGTTTATTGACAAAATTTTCAAATTTCAAAAAGGACCGCCATACTTTTTCCTTTCTTTCACCAATATCCTGCATATTTTTCCTTAGTTTTTTTTTTCGAAAATAGCTTAGTATTTGTGTGTTAATTGTTACTGAGTGTAGACACAAACTGTGAAAATCGCTTAGATTCAAGTACTACTACAATAAAATTACGACAGTAAAATTACTAATAAGAAAATTTCACAGTTTCAATTAATAGATTTTATTAGCTAGAGTTTTTGTCGACTAGCAACTGTTGTTGGCCGATTAGCAATAGTTGTTAGTCAAGAGTCTCTATGAACATTTGATTCCCAAACACCCGGGATGGCTAATTGCCCATAAATTGCAATAGTAGTTAAAAAAATTCAAATTGGAAAATCAAATGTTCGTCAAGGCTCTTGCGAAATGCCTACATTCGTTTTTTTGATGTCGTTTCTTGTCAGGAACAAGCATGAAGTCTTCACCGAGTGCTGTGAACATTTGTCCAATGTTTGGAATCCGAAACGTTGGTCTGTATTTTAGTGACACCCATAGTGGATTACAATCCAACTCAAATGATTTTTTTGCATAATTTCGATTTTTTTAACACGTTTTGTATAGATTTTTTGATCGTTGGATATGTTTTTGTCTAATTACTTATTCGTACATTAATTCAAATTTATAGGTATAAGTAGATAAATAAACTAATTTATAACGTTTAAATACAACAATATTTTAATTTTATTCGTAAAAGACATATACATATCCTCAACATCCCGTATTCCAACGGAAATAGTTTACGAAAATCTTTCACAAGATCTCTGCATTCTGCACATGTCTTATTAATTCTGAGCTTTCACTTGAAATCGACGAGAAAAAATGTAATTTTCCGTTTGGGATGCTGCAATAAAGCCCTTCAAAAACGTAGTTGAATACCAGCCTGCATGGAGTGTGCTAAATCGACCCGTTTAGATTCTAAAGCGTCTCCGTTAATAATAACACTATTTTATGTTTCGCTTAGCCCCGCATTCTCCGAGAAGGCAAAAACTAAACCTTCGAATGAAAAGTTTATCGCTGGATTCTCCGGAAAGTACGGAGCACGTCAGAAGGGGAAAGCATCACGGAACGAACGCCTCCAGCGATCCCCATTCCAACCAAAGCAGTTCGTCCAGGATCCAATGTAAGTAATAATTTTGGTTAAAAATGTATGTTCAAGTTTATCTCGATCCTTCGAAATACTGATTTAGTTGAATAAAAAATCGCTAGTAAAATTTGGTAAAGTTGATTTTCTTTAGATATGCTTCGTCGTTGGTATAACTTTGGGGATAGCAGGGAAAATAATGAATATCTAATAAAAAATATATAATAATTTTCATTTTTTAGATACTAAGTTTACCAGTGATTTTGGGTCTCTAAAAAATGCGATTTGCTATTACATATCAATGTTTTCAACAGTAACAAAAGTAAAGAAAATTTTTCAAAATTGATTTAACTATCAAATGAATTTTCAAATCTTACCGGGGTTAAATAGATTTTTAAATACTTTGATTTGATTAATCCCTCTTCTGGAATCATATTTTGAGTATCTGCTACACAAACTTCTGTTCAGATGATGAACTTTCAGAAATGAAAGATATTCCGTTCCTCAACCTGCGCTAAATCCAATATATCCCACGAATAGGGTCTCCTGCCATCCTTCATAATTTAGTAGGGTTTGGCAAAATCGTTGAAGGAGTTCGAGAGTTCAGGAGGGTTTGATCATTTTTTTGTTTCACATCTTTTAAATGAATCCTAAAAGGTCAGTATTTTTTGGCGTGACTTGCCGTGATTCATTTAATTCTACACAAATTTATATAAAAAATGGTGTAATGGCAAATTGTTTTATAAATTCTATAATTTATTTTATTTATAAATACGATATTTTTCAACATAAATTTACTGTAATATTTTATTTAACTTGAATTTGCATTTTTTTTCATCTCTATTACAAGTTTTAACCAAGGTGACTCAACATGTAGGGGGTTGCCTGTCCAATGCCTGTCCAAGAAAACGATCTATAGTTTGCATTATCTTGTTAAATTATCACTGATCAAGGAACAGCCATCTATTTGATTGAGTTTCAATTGCTTAATTGACAGTAGTAAAAATTTACTACGGTAGCACTTACTTTTTACTTACAACTATACTTTTTTAAATTTTCTTATATTCTATTTTCAAGTAAACCAACAGCATGATGTGATTATCTAATCTTTCGTTTCGCAGTTGCGAGCATAACACCCAGGCCTGTTCTGATTCCTTTAGCACGAAACGATGACTTCAAAATTACATCAAGTATGCATCGCACTTTAGCCAACTAGCACTCCTAATTTTGATGTTATTTTTCTTTACTTTGCCGCTAATTCCAGTACTTTAGCCTCATCTGTAAATGCAGAAGAACGTAGAATGCGAACGAAAGTTAGACATGATTGGAGATGCTTCTTTTTTGCCTGCATTTTTAGTGTAGATTAGGGAAGAGCATGTAAACTACATTCGAATTTCTACTGAAATTTTCGCGTTGTGTATGTGTTATGATTAAACTGAACTTGAGACTTTTAATCTGAGTTTCTGTTGTAACAGCACCTTCGAGTCCGGTTCACAATCGTCGACTGTTATCAGCTAAAAATATTAGAATGTCGTCGGTAGAATTACCAGACGATAATGACAAAAGTCCTTCATCGGCCAGCGCTTCTCCATGCCCGAGTCCTGTGGGTGGAAAGGTATAATTTATTTCTGCTTTTGATTAATCATTCCTTTAAATTTCCTCCAAAGTTCTCAAACTAACTATAATTGGTTCCTTTCAGAAATCTCACAGACTTTTACCAACGAATCTCTACGTTGTATTGTACAACTTTAAATCGAGGCATCAGGATGAATTGGATTTGAAAGCGGGTTATAAAGTCACCGTCATTGACACATCAGATCCGGACTGGTGGAAAGGAAAATGCCTAGGGAAAGTGGGCTTTTTTCCTTCCAAATACGTATCTAAACTATCCTCCGGAGAAAAACCACTGCAGGTAATTCGATTGACGGAGAATTACAACTATACATGGTGCTAAAATTAATTGCGAAATTGTGACTGGATTTTGTATCATTTTAAATATTAACGCATTTATTAATGTTGTAGGTGACTCACAATCTTCAAGTATCAGACGGTGACAACGGCTTGATGCTACTGAGGGACCAAATAGTGATCCAAATCGGTGAAGAACTCGACGGAATGGTGATGATTCGATCGGGCGACAACCGTCAGGGCATTTGCCCGGTTAAATTCCTCCAGGAGGTCTGACAACGCAGCGAAGTCGCCTGTCAAGCAACGGCGCCTTGTAATTGCAACACCAAGCAAGCGGCGCTAAAGAAGATTTACTACCCCAGCCCGGCCCCCACGCCGTCGATCCTGCAGAACAATAAGAGGAACAACAGCAACGGCAACAACATCCTGCAATATTACTACAACAATTTCGCGAAGAATAGCAAGGACACCAACGTGTACAACAACGTGTTGAATAGGCGACGCACCGAGTTGGCGTTCTTGCACGGGAAAGCGCCGTTTTCATCGACCAAGCGGCCGCTTTCCATTCGACTGTCCACGCCCAAACACATCGCGAATTTCTTCTCGAAGAACAAGTCGGATTCGCAGAAGCGACCGCTGCTGCTGCAGGGTTCGCAGACGTTGAACAATCACCCCAGTTTTCAGATTATTCCGAACCGAAACGGCTTAAAAATCTCTTCGATCTACACAATCAGCGAGAACGTCGAAAAATTCAGCTTGTATCGGAAAAACCTGTACATTTCGTCGAATAGCAGGCCGCTGTTCGTCAGAATGTAAACATTTATTTGCCAACGATATTTTTATAAACGAGAATTGTTATCTTTTGGAATTTGGACTGGACGTCCCTTGTGAATTTTCCGGGAAAATTAGTTTTGTTCGCATGCTTATTTCATTTCGACCGTTTCACTTAATTAATTGAAAATTAATCTGACTAATATTCCTGGATAAAGAGAGATTTTTAAATGGGAACATAAACCTTCCCAAAACCTAACTCCCTAAAAATATATATTAGCCCACACAATCTATTTTTAACTCTAAATGTACGAGCACGTCCTATTTCCACAAGCACTGAGATTTAGTCTTTTACGATGAATTAATTCCTACTGTACAATATAATAATGTACGTACCTAAGTATCATGTACAGATTGTTTCCTAAATACATGTAGCAGGTGGTCAAAAATATAAGAATATATATCAAATAAAGCTATATATCCTAAAATCCTGCCCTAATATTCTTCTAAAGGATTAAAAATTGAAATATTTGGTAGAATATATTAATTTTTCAATATTATGTAATCCAACAGGGTGCACCTTTACCTAAAAGATATATGTATTTAATGTGATTTAGGATTAATTAATCACATTGCATCGATTTTAAGGAATATTATTTTTTTAATTATTTTTTTCCGAATCATATCAGTCAAATGCTATTAGCAAATAAATATAGTAATTAATATAGGCTAAATAAAAACATATCTGGGCATTGTTTATAAATTTCTGTTATGAATACAAATGTGTTCCATAAAGGTTCAGTTTCTACATATTCTTCTTCTGACATATTGCACTACACAAATTGATTCGATTTTAATTGTGATAATTTAATGGTGTTTATTATAAACATAAGTAAATAAATAATTATTTTACCAACTCGTATATGTATTAAATTATTTATTGTTAAAATTTGTATAGTTTATATAAAATGCATATTTTAAATATATTAATCGTGATCGCACGTTTAAATATATTTATTGATAACTATTGATGAACTAATAAATTAAAGAGTATCCACATAATTTATATTATTTTTAAGGTTAGGTCATTTTTGAAGCGTTTTTATTTGTTTATGATTTGATGTTTCATAATAGTACATAGTAAAATCACTTTTGAATAGTGTTAATAATTCTCGACAAGCTCATAAAATAATTGTTGTTCAGAATGATTCGATAAAATCATCATAAACAGTAAATTTTCAAAACATTAAGCATACCTTGATGACCTCTATAAAACTCATTTTAAACTATAAACCAGTCAATTAAACATGCCGAATTATAGATTTATTGAAATACAAATTCTTTTGTAATTCTCTAATTTTTGGTATACATATATAGCAAAAAAAATAGAAGTTTCATTAAATATTACAAATCAATTAGTCTTTTATGATGGGAAATTCGAATCATTCTTACTATGAAATTCTTCAATTAGCTATTTCTCTTGCACTAATCAAAATTTATTGAAACGATAAGAATAGATATTTTTACAATAAAAAAATTTCATTCATTTTGTCGAAATATGTTCTGTATTAAAAATAGGCAAAGTAGACTGGCGTTATTCCTGAATTTACAGTTTAGCAAGTTTCAAGTAGTGAATAATGGTGGTTAGGAATTAATTTTGAACTGAGTTCATAAAGTATAGTCTTGTTTATATTGAAAACTGACCAGATTTGGAAGTGTATAAGTAACTACCTACAAGTTTTTTGAAATTTCAATGAATTCTGATTAATAGGAATTGCATGGGTACTACACATTTTTGAATTTAATTAAAGTTTTATTAGGTATCATCCTCACGTATAACTTACGCTGTAAGGTATCTACAGTCATTCCTGAAAGACTGCTTCAACAATATATTGTAGGCAATACCATTCAGTAAAGAGAGGTCAGATTGTTTATGCACCGGTGCAAATAATAGTTGTAGAAAAAAACATTAGGTACATTTAAGGTGCTAAAATGCAATTATTTATTGCACCCGACGCATGTACCGTCTTCTTTAATCTTCATAATATGAATTAGAAAACTCAATTGAAAGGTAACTATGGTATACTGGTTATACTGAAGTTAAATTCCCTATATTCTTGAGAAATAAGGATCTTAAAGTTTGTGTTTTATTATTTTTTTCATTGTTAATTATAAAAGGACTAAAATGCTTCCTATCGACACTATGATGCCATGAAATTAAGTAACACAACTATAAGCGCGAAATTAATGAACACCTTTAATAGTTCTTCTGAAAACCAAATCCTCAATTGAAGTGTATATTTACCTACAATCCTGTTTTATTTTCCTCCAAATTTTACCGTAAGCTGTTAATTAGTTTTAACACGAAAAATTCATGGTGTTTTTCTTGTTGGAATAAATGTAAAAGCTTACAATTCTATTATTAAGTCAATGTTAGAAATGCAAAATTGTGCTGACCAATTAATCGCAAAAATAATGTAACTAAAGTCATATTTTTAAAGGAAATGTTTCAATTGACACTAGATTATAAACTAATCGATAATTGTGCAGTAAATACTATTATAATGAATTTTTATTGCACGGTCGGTGACTAGGTAAAGACAAAGCGTAAATGACTTTTAACAGTGTCAAAAATCTTTAAAAAACAGACTTTACAATACTACCTGCTCTATCTAAATAACTGAAACACTATACCCTTTCTCAGGTGAAAATCCGGATGGTCCGGAAGGACTTTTTATTTGAATAATTGTAGAGAATTACTGTTTTTCCAGGTGCAATTACTTACTTTCTACAATAATATAACAACTAATTATGTGCACATGACCAATTTAGGTATTTAATTTATTAATAATACTTACCTTAGTGTAATTGAATCGACATTTAAACCGTATTTATTACAATTTCATTTCTCAAATCCGTACAGTATTAATATTCATACATAATATGATTCTTGTTTTTATATGTCCGTTCAATGAGAAAACCTCACATGCACGTTGTTGATTATTAAATGTGAACCAATAAAATGTTAAAAGAGACAATTGTTTGTTTTTTCATACATTTCCTGACATAATTTTTCGTTATTTTAAGGATTATTAAAGATTTTTTCGAAATTATTCAGTAATTTTTGACGTATTTTCTCGTCATTCCAATAATACCCGCACTATACTACGTACATATGCTTTAGTGCAAAACATATCAGCAAATTTTTTGTTAAACCTTTATTATTATAGGGTAGGGCGGGGCTAGTTGAGCAACTTTTCACTTTAGCGGATATAGCTCATCAATGATATGTGTGAATGACTTGTTATGTGGCTTGATGGATTAGTAATTTATCCCTTAACAAAAGTGTCCATAGTAACTTTTTTGTAACTAGTTGAATTTAAGAGCTACAGCTGTTTAAATGCAGAAAGTCAAGTATGCTCAATGTACCCCATAGGTGAGGTAAGTTGAGCAACTGTATGTTTACATATAGGATATGTTTATTTTTATAATCATCTCTTTATTTATTGTGATTTAGTGACAAAACAACAAAACTTAAAGTAATTTACGAGCTTTCTGTTTAAAATCAGAATTAAATAGCTTAAAAAAATATTAATAATATATTAGCAAGTTTTGGTCGTTGTTACTGTTGCAATTAATACAAATGAAAGTAAGACCATAGCACCTGGAAGACATTTTATTTGTGCCCATTCCCTGCAAGCTTGGCAGTGAATCCAACTTTCTCCTGGTAAATTTCGCAGTAGTTGCTCAACTAACCCCAACCCGCAATTTTAAAATAAAAGTGAGGTCATAAAGAAATCGTAAGAATTATAACCAGAACATCTCTACATATCAAAAGTACAATAATTTTCTGGAATATTAACCCTTACCCCATTGAAAACGGATAATATTTGACTAATACAGACGAAAACTTGCGATAGACGACGTTTTTACTTTTTGGTCACAAAAAAAACAAAACGCACGGGGGCTTTACTCGCTTGTCGAGGCGCCGCTTGCAATAGCTCTGTGATTAGGTCTCCCCCGACCCCTTCTTTCCGCCATAAGATGTTTATGCGTACGGTGAATAGTTTGCGAGATATTTCGATTGCACAACTTACCCGTATGCTCAACTAGCCCCGCCCTACCCTACATATGCCTACTAATTTTTAAATTTTATTACAATGACAAATAATTTGTTCAGAAATTAGGTAATCAATTTGTTATTCCCGACGTTACCATGGCATTACTTCGGCAAGGGGAATCTTAAACATGAGTTAATATTACATTACTATGAACGAATTTTTTCTATTTTTCTATGACTACTTGTTTATTGGACTCATAATTTAAATTTTTGTCTATTTACTACGAAATTTTTTGAAGTTTTTTTTGACGAAATTTTTATTTTATCTTGATTCATCTAACTAGAATAAAAGTCGATTCGTGGAAACTCATGTGGTTTGTTCGCAAACAACATTCAAGAGTTTTTATTCCGTTATTCTTTCAAAAATACTTATAATAGGTAAGTGCCTTTATTGCCTAAAATTAGAAATTGAGTTACTAATATTTAGGGCGTAAAACTATTAAATTAAGTTCTTACTCTTCATTTATATAATATCGCTGATTTGTTAAAATAATTACAATTGAACTGGAGACTGCTAGGACTTATAAATATGTACATAGATTCATGAATTTTTACAAAAAAAATTATTCAAAAAATAATCTAGAATCAACTTTTGAAGAATCAGCAGTAAGTACATTATTATCACTTATACGAGTACCTACTATGTTAAATTTCTGTATGTAGGAATATCAAAATCAAAAGGTAATAAATCAGCCTTTTAACCCTTTATAAACCGTATTCCTTTACTACGCAAACATGTAGCCATTACCTACATTGATCTACCTAACTCAAGTAAATACCTACTATTTAATCTATAGAAGGCATTCCAAAATACATTCCATTACACAATTAATATGTAGTAAGTAGAATGCACTCTACTGATTTTACTTGATTTATTTCAGTTAAGCAGACATGGAAGAAGAAGATTTAGCCTCCACGAACGGCAATTTCGACACTTTGCGCCAGAAATTCGAAGAAATGTCCAAACAGCAATGTAAGAGGAATTCCAGGATGCAAAAGTCCTGGCATTCGACTACGTTAGAATTGTCACATTGCAATTCAGAAGTGTTTACTGATGTTATTGTGACGCGACAATTTTCGAATTTCTCCAAATCAAAGCTCAGACCGGTCAGTTACAGGTAACAACACAAAGTTTATGGTCCCATTGACTTCTTGCATTTGCCTGAATTGTGCATGATTGGCGAATAAATTTATACTGCTTTGAGACATCTGTTTTTATAAAAATCTAAATAATAAACAAAACAAATATAGTTATTAGTAAAGCTTATTATTTCAGTGATTTAACGAACGAAAAGAGCTTTAATATAATTAAAAGCGAATCGACGAGAGGTTCATTTAAGCGCAGAGTTCCTAAAAGACTTGCCGTAGGTGATTCCAAAGAAGACCCGGCTTATTACAGGTAAAGAGCGATCCTAATTTTCGAGTTTCTAATAAATAATGCATTGATTTACAGTTCGTACGTCGACTTGCGTGCCGACAAGAATACCAATAATACTTTAAAACTGAATATCAACAATCTTATAAGCGAAAACTCGACCGTTGGAGACGATCTTCAAAACGTCGCTAACAAGAAAATCGTACAGAATATCGTCAATAAGCTGAATTCTTTAAATAGAGAAGCTTCTCAGATGAGAGTTCGGAAATTGACGAGTGCTTTCGAGAATATGTCGTCGAAATAAGGGCGCCACTGTTCTCCTTCATGAAACTTAAATATTAGTGGTTTTCAAATTAGAGAACCTACCTAATTTATTGATTCAATTTTTTGTATTGGAGCTTCTTGCGCTGTTAACAATAATCTATAACACTCGAGATTTGAGTTAAATTTTGTTTTCGCAAATAACACTACAAAGTTAGACCTTCACATTCCTTCGGCTTCATACTTTACTATCTACAAATTTCAGTAATTGGTTAACAAAGATTCGTTCGCATGATGAAAAATATTCGAATCAAAACTGTACTTTTGTAAAATAAATATACTTAAAAAATACAATTTTTACACCTAATTCAAGTTTGTGAAAAAATAGAGTTCTTGCATGTTTGTTGTATATGTTAATGCCAATAGTTTATTAGAGAGTGTTAGGTACTTCAAGAAATAAGTTTAACTAAAAACTATACCTTGCGTTGAAAAATACTAATATTATTTGGATATTTATCATAATGTAGGTAATTACAAAATTAGCAGCAGAAAAAAAATCTTAATAAAAATTTCGACGACGGCTGATTTTTATTGTCGATGACAATATTAAATCAACAGGAATTTTCAGTATAGCCAATAATGAAATGAAATAAGAAAAACTGTACGCAAGGTATTCACATAAATTATCAGAAACTTGATTTGTCGGTACCACCTACGTGGATTCGAGAGAGCCTGAATGGAATGTGTCAACGGTACGTTTTGCCAACTATTTAAAAACGAACTGTATCAATGAAGTGGAGTCGTTCTGAATAAAAGCGAGAGTGAATGAAAATTGTATAAATTACATTTCGGTTGAGCTTTATTGTTTGACCATTCGATTTGTGTGTGGTCAGCCTTGTATTAAAAGAGCGATATTTCTGTTATTGTCCCGTATAAAGTATGGGGCGTTTACAGCAGATTTTTAATAAAAGATATATACTTCTATGTATCGGATTTTATGGGCATACATGAGATGATATATGAGATAAAAACGGGAATTGAAAGCTGGAACTATTCGAGTTTTTTACACTAGATATCCTACATTAATCTCGTAGTGTTGAAAATTAGACATTTTATGTGGAATCGATATGTTGTAAAAAGAATCTAAAGCCTTTGTTATCGCTACTACAAATAAGCCTGACAAATTTCTACAAATACCACTAGAATAGGTTTAACACATTTTGAAACTGAGAACAACACTGTTCATATTTCCTTAAGATTAATTTCCATCAAATGCTAAATAAAAGTAGAAAAAGTTTTAATTTTTAATAAAATCTCAAATGAGTAATATCAAAATTTATAAAATTTGTTTCGTGCATTTTTAGACAAACTAAAATATTCCTTCTAATACAGTTATAAGCTGGTAGAAAAGTAACACTGTAATAAGCAAGTGTACAATACACCTACATTCCCTCAACTGTGAAAACTTCTACCTGCCGAGATAATCCAATGTAATATTGTATACCTCGTAATATACCGAACGTTTAACTTTTATTTGGTATTGTTCCGTTCAACACGCCCCCATTATTGCCGCTGTCACCTATACATTTGCACCTGTTTTTGCACCATTCTGATCTATATATTAAAAAAACACATTCTCCATCGTGAGAATTTCCAACTTTTGCGCAATCCGTCTTCAGAGAAACAGTAAAAAAGAAAGGAGCTCGCAAACTGACGTTATGAATGCGAGATGGGACAATAATTAGGCTTTTCAGGCTATTGAATTTTCGTATACAATTGGTTTTTTAGGAGATCGATCGGAAGGCGTATTTTCGCGATATATCGAGAGTTGGTTATTTTCCTTTTGTTGGAATGTTACAAGTTTGAATTGAGAAAATGATTGATATCCCAATGGTTAAAATTTTTTGGAATTGGCTATTCATTGCTTGCCTACGTTAAACTTCTTACGAACGTTTCTTTTTTATTTGTTTTTCCTAATATTTCAAGGATTTAGGGGTATTTAGATTTATTAAGTTTTTTCCTTGTTTCCTATGTCAAAAAAAAGATTTATGAAACGTAAAACAAATTACCTACTTGTAAGTGAAAAAAATCTTTATTAAAACAACAAAAATATCATCCGTTGGCAAACAGGCGATATCTAAAATGCAATACTAATACTTGTTACACAAATGTGTGATAATTCCTATTTAAGTAAGGGTTAAAATAAACTTCAAACTTATAGGTAACACACCGTAACACACCAGTTATACCTGAGCAAATCGGATCAGCACCTATTAAAAAAACGTAAATATAGCTGTTACCCTAAATCCAGCTACTCGAAATTTAAGTAGACAACCGTAAAAGATCGGCATACATCATCCCTTCAACTACCCCATAACCGCCCTTTGAAAATCCCTGCACACTCCCCATTGACTTTAAGGTCGATAGTCGTGCGAAATATCACTTTCAATCATTGAATGAAGAATTCGAGCACAATAGAGGGTCAGATATTTGTTACAATAACCATCCCTACCAAGCATATAAGACGGCCCCTTTTACATACCCCGCAGTATATATGTTGATGAAGCTTTTAGTCGTACTTATCACGTTGGCCGATGACTTTTTGACTTTTTACAATATGTTTATCAATAACTATTCTTGCAATAATACTAAACTGTTCAGGCCTTGGGATTGTTCGGGCGCACCGCAAGATTCCACCGTAAGCACGACTAACGCAGAGGAAGGTGTTGAGAGTGTAGAAAGTGCTAAGAAATATCTCCAATCTCGAGGAATTTACTCGATCGAGTGTTATAAATCTTTGAATATTTCACTTGATTCTCCCGAGAAACGAATTGATAGTGTCAGTGAAAAAACGAATGAAACCAAATCCGAGTCGAAAATACAAATGAAGTCTAGTATTAACCATTTGTATCCTGCGAGTTTTTCATGTGATTCCTCGGAAAAACGGACTGATAGTGCTAGTGAAAACGTTAATAAATTTGAAGAAGAAGTGACGAATATCATCAAATCTGAACCAAAGTCTCCTCACGAACCATCAAATTCTCATCAAGATCTATACCAAATGCAATATTCCCATCCAGCACATACTCCAAGTAATTCTCTCAAAAAACGAATGAATAGTGTTAGTGAAAAAACCAACAAAACCAAAAATAGCTTTAAATCTGAATCAAAATCTAAGAAGCAAGGAATAAACTCAATAGACTATTCTCATCCAGCATGTGACTCGAAGGAAGTAGCTCAAACAAAAACCGATGCACCGAAAAGCTTCATGCCAGTCAAACCGGAACATCCAAAGTCTACACAAGGAATATACCCAATGGAGTATGATTATTTCCATCCGGCGTATCCTGGTGATTTTTATCAACACAATTTGGCGTCCAATCTGCTGCCTTCCGGAGACGCCGCGTTAGTGGAAACTCTTTCGCAAGGAATTGCGCTGGAGGAATACATGAGAGTCTTGAGCCAGGAGCAGCACGAGAAAATGCTGGCTGCTAAGAAGCAAAGACCCAAGAAGTACAAATGTCCTCACTGCGACGTTGGTTTCTCGAACAACGGACAACTAAAAGGACATATTAGGATACATACTGGTTAGTAAAATTTATCTTTTAGAGAATTTATTAAAACATCAAAGACACAATTAAATAATAAAATAGTAGTTAAAACTGTTATTGGCTTCGACTGAATTGGATTGGTCTTTTGTGGAAACAAATTTTTAATTATCACCGTACCTAATTAAACAAGTAATTATGGGAAATTGTGTTCAATTTATTCAGAAACCCGATACAAAATACACTAAATTGCGAATGCGTGTTGAAGCTTTTAAACACCTATAAAGCTACAGTCACTAATACTCTACTCTAAGTGAGTAATTAAATCTCAAAAATTTAACATTCCGTTATTTTTATTAAAGGAGAGCGCCCGTTCAAATGCGACGAAAAGGAATGCGGGAAAACCTTCACCAGAAACGAAGAACTCACTAGACACAAGAGGATTCATTCAGGACTGCGACCTTTTCCTTGTACGCACTGTGGAAAACGTTTCGGAAGGAAGGATCATTTGAAAAAGCATTCGAGGACGCACTTTCAATCTAGAGGAATGTACGCCGTGCCTGTTATGTTGCCTGTCGAAGCTTGGGCAGCTTCGGCTAGCAGCTATCCATTTATACCGATGTTCGGATTTTAGCTCAAACTATAGGTAAACAATTAATGTATAATAACCAATTTTTGTAACGCACTTACACTATTAATAATTGCAACTAATAACTAACATTTATTCTGTTTTGTAAAAATCATAACGTTACTTATTGATTATACTATATCCTTTAAAGCACAAACTCCAGAGATATAAATTAATATTTGAAATAACCCTACATAAACCCAAATTTGCCTCCTCAACGGCGGTAACTACAGTAGAAATGTTTTCATAATTATTAATTCTATTATCCTGGAAAGTAGCTTTTTCCATTGGCAGGACTAAAAATATTCCGAGTTGTTAATGGAATAATTAAAAACTTTCTAAACGTGCATCTGTAATTTTATAAAACAGAATTTATTGTTGCCGTTCGATAATTTAAATTCAGATTGTATGTACATATTGTAAATAAAATTATTTTGATTACAAATAAATTTCGAGTGTAAAAATGTGATAATGTGAATAAAACTTTTCTTAAGACTGAAGAAAATAAATCCATAATAAATTTTCTAATAGTTATTTTATTTCCTAACGACACGCTCATGTGCGTTGGTGTGAGTGTTAAAGCATTTTATCACAATTTGGGTCATTTTTGAAAGATTACGTCCTTTAATAACGACCTAAATTCCGATTTAAACCTCTTAACTCAAAAGGTGTCGTGTAAACGAAACGGGCAAGATGAGAGTTTGATTGATAACTCTAATTCGCCGATTTTCGGGACCCCGTTTCCCGTTGGATAACAAATTTGTGTCGAAATTTAGATCAAGGACAAGCTCTCTTCGCCAGCGAAACCTATTAGTTATCCTTAATCTTATTTGTTGGGCCTTATGTGTTTTATTTTCGGGAAGATCGTTGATTGTGACAGCCCAAAGCTGCAGAAAAACTACTCGTTCTTTTTGCCTAAAGTCGTTGGTGTTTTTTCCATATATCGAACTCCTTTTTGAAATTATAAGCTAAATTTCGTGATCGATTTAATTCAACATTAATTTTACTCGAGCGCTAGAGCGAGTGATTTCACTTAAGCACTCACGAGTAATTTAAGGATTTAGGTAAAAACTTTAAATCGAATTAATGTTGAATCCCGCTCGCCGAGATTCAGTTGTACTGACTTTCTAATAGTCGAGAATATTCGTATACATTTAGGAGGAAGAATTTAAAGTCTTTGAATGGCGTTCGATGTCTCTCACAATCCATCCACAAACGACACAAAAGGAGATTTGAAGCAACAATTTATAAGGTAAGGACGCCCCGCAGGGCCGATTACGAGCATGTTTTGACAATTTCGTACCTTCCGGAAGTTACGCGCGATTATTGTCAACACTCGAACATCCAGCTGTGACGTAATGATCATTTTCATTGATCTACACTGACCGTTGGGCATTCGGAATTGTCGATTGAAAAACGGACGTTCACGTTAAAGTGATTAGGGAGTGATTTGTGATAACTTTTATTGCTCTGCAGTAGACTCTAGGATATAAAATTACTCTTTGTTAAGAGATATAACAAGACTCACTTTCGACGAATTACAAATTGCATTTTTAGAAAATACTATTATGAAGCAAATAATATTATACAGGTTGGTGCATCTTAGTTTGCAATAGGTATAGTACAGGTAATGGATTCGGCAAAGTCAACTTCCATTAGGCACTTAGAAAGGAAATAGAAAGGTTGTATTGTTTTATTGAAAATCACTCTAACAACTGTTATCAGTTCTTACTCTAACAATATTTCTTTGTTCAACTCGTAGAATTGACGATATTGCAAGCTTCTATGCACTTACTAGGTATGTGTATACATATAAAGTCTGCACCACTACAAGAAAGCAATCTTATAAAAGTGGTTTTCATATTTCATTCAAGTGACTTTGGAAAGTCTATACAACAAATTTTCTATGAAATTGTTGAGAGAGTTAGTAGGTAAAATTTAAATTCCAACTGCACGGAACAACTCCAGTTCAACGACACTATTCGATTTTGTATTTTATGCGATTTGATATCTCCGCCGCACAAAAAGTACCTGACAAATTTATATTTATAGTCTGAGCAATAGTCTGAGGCTTTATCCGAAAAAGACCACACACATCATATAAACGATCTTCTCAAATTATTTTCCCATATATTACTTAAGGTCCTTTGTCGTTGCATCGTTTGGGGTTTTTGCACAATGCGACTAGACTCTCGAATGGATTTTTCTATTGTGAAATTCGAGTTTCACGATTTATTGTCCAGATGTGTGTGTATGTGTGGAAATTAGCAAAATATAAAATATCCTATACTATAAAAATTGAACATGAAGTATTAAAGCACGAATTTCATATTCTGTACAATTATAGTAGTATGCCTTTTGATGCACTATAACTTTAATAATCTTCACAAATTTTTACACATTATATACCCAAATTATTTTCAACAAATCCTCCTACATAATTTAGACTACTTTAATTTTCTTTAATATATACAGGGTCTCCCAATAAAAAGTAGCTCCTTTAGTGAGCTAATAATTTTTAAACGCCTAATCATAAAACCATGCGGTTTTCGCAGATATATTTTATTTTGCTGTTACAGTGACACAATGTTGTATCGCCTGTACAGGGTGTTTCATATAAATCCCCTCTTTTAAATTCACTTCAATAAAATTTCATGAAATAGGACATCTTCTCTTGTAGAATAACATGTACAAATAATACATTTTTGAAAAGTAGAAGGGTTTATCTTTCAAAACCTGTGTATATACGGGGTGTTCCATTTAAAAAAATTGGTTACTGTGAATGTTAAAGACGAGATTTTGATAAAACACACTGTATTGGTAATGCCTAATTTATGTATCACTGTAACACAATTGTAAAATGAAACATTAGAGAAAAGCGCATGTTTTTATGATCAGGCGTTTAAAAATTATAAGCCCATTAAAGGGGCTACTTTTCATTGGGACACCCTGTATTTTAATATTAAAAAAATTCCAAATAATTTAGAGTGCGTTATTTGGAAACTGGAAACTGTTATTACTGTTATTGTTTACATACACATTTTCACGTAACGAATATATTTGAAACAATTCTGAGTTATCTGCACCCTCTTTTTTCTATTGAATTTCTCCATTACGAACCCTTTTCGCACCCTCTGTAATAAATATACAAAAATGGCCGACGAAATGACTCTCTTTACGCTTACATGAATTTGCTTAATACAAATTCGTAAATTCGTTTAGCAATATAAACGTCGATTTTTAGCATAGACGGCACGTCAACAGATGGGTTTATTTGAAAATGTAAAATAAAATATTATTTTACTCAAAGACAGATAATGAAAAAAATGTTAGTTTAAACTCAATTAAGGAAGTATTTAATAAAAAATTGAGCTAGCGAAGTAAGTAAGACCAACTATTACAGATTTGAAATATCACATAACTGCTCCGTAAATAGAAACGTGCCGTCCCTGTGCTTTGAATATGCTTCACAGGGTGACACACGGTTGTCGGGGCAAGGCGGAGACAAGAAAATGGTATGTTCCCATGCGATCGAAGGGTGCACGTGGGGCTGCATAGGGAGGGATTGTAATTGGTTTAGTGCTTGCCCAAACTTTTCGATACAACAGCCCTTCTTTGCATAAAATTCGCCTTCCACAATGGGGTTCGGTTGGGTTGGCCATGGGTTGATCTGTGCTGTGGCGAAGTTAATTGAATTCGGCCGAGACGATGGGGCAAATGAATGGATTTCGTTACGTACAGTTCGGCGCTTTTCCAAATAATTTTTACGCGTCTTCAATGTAAATTAACTTTCTCATTAATTACACTATCAATAATACGGATTGTATTTCCCCAGATCGAAATACCCCAATTTAATGATGAGGATATCGATCAAAACTCACAGTACATCGACTTTTCAATTTGTATAAATCCAACCTAGCCGAAAGAATTCCGAATTTAATACAAAAAGTTCGTCTAAGTTTTACCCGACAAGTTAGTATCCAACTTGTTTATTCTTCAGTCAGAAAATCAGAAATAATGCGAGCTGAACGAACCTATCTTAAACTTAAATTAATCTGAAGACCGTAAAATGAGATTTTTGCTTTCATATAGTACATTTTTACAGGGTGTTTTCTCTGCTAATTATTAGGAGAAAAGATTGTAATCACTAGGGTTCCTTCTTGAGTTGCAGAAAGTAAAAAAATGTTCTAGTTTTATTGCTATTTTTATCATCATATACCTACATATTTATTTATCAGTAGGTACAAATTTAACAATACTAATATTATGTAGAATAAACACTGAATGAACCTATATACCTATATTTATTCCAAAATTTATTACACAATTTAGGTTATTGCCTCTCCAGTTTAAAGTTATAGTTAATAAAATTGTAGAAAGTTTAGAAGCATTCTATTTACACATGCACATTTAAGACAGGTAATAAAAACACATTGTTTATGTTGTAGCCATTATTAAATATCGTTTTCCCTCGCATTTATTTCAAAAACTACGGGTTTTATGTAAATTTACAGCAGCATCCCGTGTGTAGATCCATAAATTGAGAATTATTCTAATCGAATTACAGTCGCATTGTTATAGCACGAAATCCGATCGATCACCGTGATCAAATATCCAATTGTATTTCCGTTTTTGTGGAAATCACGACGTATTGTCAAATAGAAATTTGATTCAAGAACTAATAAAAAAAATCGTGCATGTGCCCAACCACTCAATCATATATGAAACGACGCGCCTTTTTGGCATGCACTCGCATTTTAAGATGATTTTCCTTAGACGGAGAATAAAAGAATGAAAGGTTATTTTTGTGTTCGATATAAAATATGTCTGAGATGTTGGATAGAAATATAACAAAAGACGGTTCGTTATATTGACTATACATATTCATAATGGATATTAAAAATAGGGAGTTTTACTTAAAAGCCATAAAAATTTATCGAAAAATAGCTATTCTACTAAAAACTATATCTTAAGAAAAACTACATACTTAATGTTGAAAAACTTTAAGAATACAGTTGGTAAATTATCATGATAACATTGAAATAACTAAATGAATGTAAAATAGCTTTGCCAGTATCCAATTTTAATGAATGAAATTTGTTAGTATTCCGAATCTGTTTATTACAGCAATGAAAATCATCTATAATTAACAAATTCTAATTAGTAATGTAATAAATGGGAAAATATACGTAACTGCAAACCTAGCAGCTGCAGCAATTTGTAATTAACATCATGTGCATCAGATATTGTAGTCGAAAATATGTGGTAGGTATTCCATAAATTTGATTAACAAACAAAGAGAAAAGTTTCTATTTCGAGATTAACCGGATCGAATTTGATTGGATTAAACATGTATAAACGTACATCATTTCATGAAAGTTAAATTAGAGTAACAATTTTCAACTCAACTCAATAATGCATTTTTCCAATCATCTTCTTCTGTCACTTTAACCTCGATTTTTGATAGATCTTTCAGCCCGGTTAAATAAACCTTTACTTTGCAACCTGTA